AAGTCCTGTAGACATGCTGCGTACTGATATGCCGATGTAATCGCGAAGTATCAAGAACAGACAACAAGGATATCGCAAGAAAGAGCAAGGGAAGGAGAAATGGAATAGAGAACGGAAATGTAACCAGGGCAAAAGGCGAGAGAGATTTCCCTTGGAAGTTTGCGAATTGTCTTGTTTTAGCCAGGAGTATTGTGAATGGATTCTTTTTCTTTTTCTTTTTCTTTTGTTCTCTGTCTTCTGTGGTTGTTCCCTTCCCCTTCCTCGTCTTTCCAGTGAAGCCGCAAGCTTCTGCTAATTTGAGAGTGCGAACGAATTGACAAGAATAGGCACGACAGAATTTGTAGAATGGTTGCTAAGCTATTCTCTTCAAAAACTTGACAGACAAGCCGATGTGAAACTCCAGCTGCAAAAATATGTATCCTTCGTAAACCATCCGCCAACCAGTAAGACCACCGTACAATGCCGCCCGTCCTTTTCCCCGTACTTCTCAGCGACGAATGCCAAATACCCCAACAGTGAGCGTGCTGGAAGCTAAGGAAAATGCCCTGGACGATAGTGGGTGTTATGGATATGTTTGCCGATGAGGCAAGCCAAGGAAGGAACCCGAGATGCAAAATTTGGAAGAGGACGACGGGGAAATGATAATTAGTAAGTACAATTGAAGGCAAGAAGAAAACAGAATATCAAATCCAGGGGAGCTGACGGAAGCGGTGGTTATCTATCCAGGGATATTCAACAAAGGAGCTGGGGTGATGTTGGAGTTGGCTGGAGTTGGTTGTCGCATGTGGAAGCTGGAAAGGATTTGATGTTCTTCAGAGCCTGCTGCATGAGTCAGCTGAGTCCACGTGAATCTCACATGAGCCCATAGATGTGGCTTGTCTCGGAATGCCCAGCCTCTTCGCTCCGAAGAGTGGGCTTGCACTCCATCATTGCTTGACAAAATCTTACAGAGGGTCAGAGAAAACAGTTGCAGTTTATATGAGAGTTGAAAATGCCTCTATACAAATGAAAGCATCATCTTCAAGAAGCTACATGACCCCTCTACATCCATCTCATCATTATATAATTGATAGATCTGAATCCATAATCTCCATAGCTATTTTCTGTTACTAACATAACATTCAATACCTGATGATAAGTACTAGTATTGATGAAGATATTAGAATTGAAGTTTTACTATGGATGTATACTAATCTGTATGAAGTAATGGAATTCGGAATGGAGAGCACCCACCTTTCACTATCTGCCCTCTGTGAATAGAATATGTCTCATAAAAAGCACTCTGTCTACCTACCCACCTGCCTCCACGAATAGAGAATCACCAATAAATATTGATTGGTGTTGTTGATGGTTGGATGGAGCGATTGGAGCACTCTATCTATCTGCCTACCTACCTACCTCAACGAATAGAGAATAATCTCTTATAGAGAACACCCTAGCTGCCACTACTGGCTTACAATGTGACAATGAATGGAAGCAGAATCTCTCATAGAGATTCTCTATTCATGGAGGTAGGTAGGTAGGCAGCTATCACTCCATCCAGCCGCCACCACCACCAATCCATATCTACTAATGATTCTCTATTCGTGGAGGTAGGTAGGTAGATAGATAGAGTGCTCCAATCGCTCCATCCAACCACCACCACCATTGATCAACATCTATTAATGAGCATATACATTGGTTTATATAGTATCTAGCTAGATCCGATAGGTATTTTAATATAATATAGAATGATTTGGTGATGGTATCTTCTTTTTCCTTGAGATCTTAGCAAGTGTAGCTTCTGAAGATAAAAGGTGGCATTCTACAGCAAGCTACATCACTTTCATCTAGTTCATATCATATCCTTAAGGAGAGTTGGCTTCTTAATCTCTGTTACTTACACCCAGACCTTGTAGATGATGTGATGTTGTGAGATTTCAGTATCAATCTCAAATGCGACAAAAAACAGTCAATGGCTGTGCCAAATTAGGCTTAGTGTGGATCAGATGGAATGTGATTGGCTCATTGGTGGAATTGTCAGATAATTGCGGTAGTCCGAAACAAGTTAGTGTTCTGAGCGAAGTGGCGGAATCTGGGTCGCAGTGTCATTCCACGTCAGGATAACCCAAGCAAGTGGATGTTGGACTATTTATGTTGGTCCGAGTGGAATGAACCTGCGCTGGAGAGACCCCATGTAGCCATGCATGAAAACAAATTTCTCCTCTACTCTCTGTTTCTGATCAGCTAGTTACCTGCCAGTTGGACATTTAACACCTTTTCACTTGTGACAACCTCACCATGAATTTCCACATCTTAACTCTACTTTGGGCTTTTCTTTTGCCAACCGTCCTCGCTGAAACTCGACTGGGACCAGAGAAGGCAGTGTTGGTCACTTATCCTTCAAAAACACCTGCCTCCGTCATCGAAAAGGCTATACTCGCTCTCGAGGCCGCAGTATGCAACTTACCTATCATGCTACCCATTATGGAGAAATCTGATTGCTAACCAAGCCTTATTTCAATGAGTTGAACAGGGCGGAAAAATAACTCATAAGTTTGGTAGGTTACTGCTGCTCTCATATGTACTGTATATATTTCTACCGGAATGGATGCCTAGTGGGAGTTTCTACTAACTCACGGCTTTGTTATTCAGTGCTGATCAAGTATGGTCCCTTCCGCGCTTTTATATCTCTATTTATACCACCCGCTAAGATGTTGGAAACTAGGGGCTTTGCTGCAACTGCGCCCGCAACGGCCTTGGAAATGCTTTCATCATTGTCGGTGGACTTTGCTCCGTGGATCGAAGAAGATCAGATGGTCACCGCCAACGGTGACTTGTCATCCGGCGTCAATAAAGCGTGATTCTTGCAGAGCAAACCGTCGTCGAGCAGAAACCGTATTCTGCTCCTTCGTTTATGACCCAATCGCCCTGTTTTCTGATATGTTTTCCGGCTACAATAAAGCCACTATCCATCCTCAGTTGTCAGATGATAATATGCTTTCTTTCAGCAAAGCCAAGGAGGACCTGCTAGGATGCAGCGCGTCTGACAATCGCCGCGTAATGATACGGCGTTGCAATACCATAGTTGTATATCTATGTTACTCATTATTTTTCATTTTCTAAACTTCATTATTTTTTTGTATAGTTCAAAACTACTTGCCATAGATGATGGAAAATGTGCTGGCATGACTGATGCATTAATCATACCCTTTTTTTTGGATTGATTATTGAAAGCAAACATGATCCGTAGACAATAACAATGAATGCTGTAAATATATTTAACTCTCGCATGATGAACCCACTTAAATACCGAGGCAACTATGGAGTGAATCCACATAAAACTGCGGTGAGCGCTGCTCGCTGTTTTGCTTTTTGTTGAAACTAGACCTTTTCCTGGGATCTGACGCTAGGTTATTCTTAGGCCGGTGACTTCTTCCGAGCCCTCGAATCGCAACTCCTCACCACCTATGAATATACAAACGCGACTTGCAGCAGCTAACCACCCCGTTTCTCGCCTCTATCCGCGTGCCATGATGCTGGATCATTCTGGCTCAAATTCCTCGCATATCGTATAAACTCGTGTCGCACAACCCCGCATCACAATGCTCTCCGACCTCATTTCCTCAACCCTCCTCGAATGGATCAACAGTTTTGATTTGGGCACAACCATTCGATCCATTGACCAGTTGAGCGATGGCTCCATCCTTTGGGATACTCTGCAGGATATTGACCCGCAGTACTTCCTTGGAGAATTGCCAGAGCGTTCACCCTCAGACCACTGGGTCCCACGATGGCAGAACCTAAAACACCTCCATAAGGCATTGATCAGTTATATAAGGAATCAGAACGATGGCGAAGTACCTTCGGGGCTCAATATCTCTCCCGACTTAAAGGCCATCGCGGAAATGTCGTCGATGAAGGAAACAAACGAACTCCTCAAGTTATTCCTTCTTGCAGCCATTAGTTCGCCAAATGCGGAAGCCTACATAACGACCATGCAGAAGCTGTCCACATCGACACAAGAAGGGCTGAAGGATATTATACAAGAAGCACAAAATCCGTCTGATGAAAGACTGGAGGAACTTGATTATGAGCTGTCCACCAGACGAGATATGCCCATGGACCCTGAACTGCGCTTCGAGGAACGCTTCGGAAAGGTGCTGGCCGAAAAGGACAAACTGTTTAATGAAAAACAAGAACTTGAGAAAACAGTGGAGGATTTACATGACCGCTTAGCTCGACTTCAAGAGAGCCACGATACGGTTTTGGATAGACTCACATCTACTGAGGATCGCTTGATGACCCTGAAATCCGGGAAGGGGGATTTGATACCGAACGCCAAAACGTTGGAGAGCAGAACGCGCCAGCAGGAGGATATTATTGCGTCTCAAGAAGCTAAAATCCAGGCGTCTCAGGACGAAATCGATAGTCTACGGATGACTGTCGAGTCATTACGTGTAAAGAATCAGAGATTCCAAAAATTGCAAGATGACTACGACGAAGTGAAGAACGAACGAGACCAACTTTCTAGACGAGCAAATGCGGCGGAGAAATATCGACAAAAACTCCAAGTCAGCCACGATTTCGAAAAGGAGAATATCGCGCTCAAAAATCAGGTCAAGGATTTACAGCAGCAATTGCGAGATAGCGATATTAACCAGAAATCTTCATCTGAACGGGACGTGGAGCTGGAGGAGTACCGTCGCGTTCTCCCAAGAATAGAGCAGGATCGTCACGAGATTCAAAACGTTAAGAAGCAGCTAGAATTTAACAACCATGCTCTCACCGAGAGGCTTCAAAGCGCAGAAGATCAACTTGCCAGGGACGAAGCCACTATCAGCGAATTGCGGGACCGAATCCGGGAACTCGAGGGTTTGGAGAGCCCAACTACACCCGGAAGCACAACTCCAAAAGCACACGGGACTTTCCAGAGAGATCTTGACGAAGTTGGGAGACGAGAAGCACAGCTGTTAGTATCATGTGTCTTGTAAACAGTTCAAGTGCTAACTAGCTCTAGGAAAATTGAGAATGAAGAGCTTAAGCGGGAGCTTGAGAAATTCAACAGCGGAATATCGCCCTCGAGCGTAAGGATATCCCAGTACCAGTCACCTTGCCACAGAAACATGCTGATAGTCAATCCCAGGATACCGCAAAAGCGTCCCCTAGAGTTGGACTTGGTGATACTAAATTTGCAGAGAAGTGGGAATCACACCTTCCATTTACATCGATTAAGATCTAACGAATGTCACAGTGATGCATATAGAAAGCTGCAAAATGAATATTCAGTCATTCAAAGGAAACTTTCTGATGCACAAAGCGAAATGGAAGCAATAGAACAGCAGCTCCAGGATTCAAAATCCAAATGTGAGTTTATGCATTTCTAAGATAGAATTCATCTTGCGCCTCTCTTACTGATATTGTCGAAGTGGGCGGGATCAGCAAGGAGAAACTCGACATGGTCGACGCAGCAAACGACTCTTCTCCCCCTGACGTGCTAAAAATTCGAGATGACGTGCATGCCCTTCGAAGCAAAATCCAGGATCTCGAAACCAAGCTCACTGCCAGCCAATCACTCGTCCAGGATGTAACTGCTGAACGTGATTCTGTCCGGAACATGATCACTAAGAAGGAGCAAGAAATGCAAGGCGAAGACCAGGCTACCATGGATGAGATGAAGAAGCTTCTTGACGAGGTTACCGCTAGGTTCAACAACAATAATGCGAACGGGCCTCAACTCTCAGGAACCGATTTACTCAGGCAGTTTGCGGAGACTATGGAGCGGAGCGCTGAAAATATGGCCAAAAGAGCAGAGGTTAGTTTGCATAAAATTTTGTCTCCCAAGTTTCTGTTTGCCCATTTTTTCCTATCATCAAAGTTTCCCAATGGGAAATTGATATATGGCTTTCCTGGTTTGGCAATGGGTACTTCCTTGTCTTCAAGCCCCTTGTACACGATGTCCAACGGTTGGGTCTGTCCAAAACACCCCTTTTTACATCCAATAAATACAGCCAGAACTAGAGGTTGACCATTCGTAGATCCGGAGCGCTCTGGCACTCTGGCAATGGTTCCTCCTTTTCGTCGCGCTTGTATTTGCAATTTTTCATCGCCGACCCCGTGCCACTGTATTTTGACATTGAAGCGTTCCTTTCTCCATATATCTCTTTCAAACCTCACCCTCGGGGTTCTAATGCTAACTCGGAACCGAACGATTCGGGTGAGTGCAACCAAAACAGCACATAAACCAGCAAAACGAACTTATCAAATCCCTACAAGACCGGATCCGGCATTCTGAGGAACAGGAGTCGAATAAAGAAACTGAGGTATACCTATTATAAACTTCCCTTTCTATCTGCAATCATAACCACAACTATCCCGTGGAAGATGAAATTCCTACTACTACTACTTGCTAGCTCGCTGTAACAGTTTTCGGGACGAAAAGGAGAGAAAAACGTGTCTAACTAAATGTCTACGTTAGAAAAAGTTCATGCAAGTTATTCAACGCCAAGCCCGCGAGATCGCGCTCATCTCATCTGCATGGTACGACCAGCAGTCCCGACTGCAGAACAGCAACGCTTCCATGCTGCGATACAGACACCCGGCAAGCACCAGCTCGAATGGCATGGAAGTCCACCGAAGCTGGCTTGCGAAGCAAAGAGCGCTTGTTTCGGGAAGAAAATAACTATGAAATACTATATATTATAATATATATTCGACAGAGATAGAGTTAGAAAGCGAGGGGGTTTGATGGAGGAAAGATATTTTTTGGAGCAACATGATCGAATGTGGGGGAATATGAACACCGAACGCGAGACCAAGGCCGTCTAGATTCAGCTTTTCTAGTTGTGATTTGTGCGTTGGAGACAAGTTGCTATTTCTGTTATCACTATGTCCATTCTCGTTTTTCCGCCTTTTCTCTTCGCCATACTAGACATTTGTGTAATGTGTTCTTTCTTTTAATCCTGCATTTTCCTTCCATTTTCCCTTTATTTTTATCACCCGCATTTCTTTCCCTTATCCTATCTTTTTGTTTTTGCCCACTCCCTATTGGATGTATTCAGCATCTTGGATTCTAGTCCGATGCCACAATCAACTATCCTTCCCCCTCTTTTTGTATAAATTGTTCTTCCCTAGAGACTGCTTTAAAAACAGGAGGCGGATTGAGGGTGTTGAGCAGCCCACTGGCATTTCTATCCCTTATCCCTTCGCTATATATTCCCTTTTCTCCATTTACTTACGTTCAAACAGGTCTGCATCCGTATTCCACACTTGACTTCCATATATACCCCTTTCTGTCTTACTTGGACTGTTTTTAAGTTTGCCACTGCGCTATATTTCAACTCTCATTTTTTTTTTTTTTGCCTCTGGATGATTTCACATATACAAGTAGACAAAATCATTTCTCATGTTTTGCTTTAGATTCCAGCGCCCCAGATTTCCAATGGTAAGACTTCTAACTATATTATTTTGTTTACAAGCAAACACCTTTGTTTTTAGTAAATTAGACAACCTTTCGCATGCTGTACTGGTACAGTGGAAATTGGAGATAGGGGAAGAAAAATCAGCTAGGAAAGGCGAACTTAAAAAGGAACTAATATCCCTATCTATCCTGCATATCTAAAATTTCCCAAACGGTCTCAAATCGGAACCTTGAATAATATACACATATGCTTGTTGTTTAAAGAATTATACATTCTGCTTCCTACTTTTGCTTACTTTTTATTGACCTGGCGGCTGCAGCAGAAGTTCTTTGTCGTTGAGGGGGAAGAGAATAAAAAAGAGGGGAGAAAAAGAGCCGGGAAAACCCACCTCTCTGGAAGACATTGGCAATTCCAATATACGCATATCGAAGGTAGAGAGAATGGACAAGATAATCATATCCCCATTTAAACCCACTGCCTCGGATTCTTCAAGACGTTCATCAACTCTCTTTCCCTTGCCTTATCGTCACTGTCGATTGCTTCGCTTTCATCCCCCCCGCCAGGACTCCGAGAACTACCATCATCAATTCTTGTTCCCGAGACGGGATCCATATACTTCCACTCAGCCGTCCGCGGTAGACTCATCAGTATACTCTCCACACGTGCACCAGGCGTGCGCAACCCAAAGCTCGTGCCGCGGTCATATACGAGGTTAAATTCCACATACCGGCCGCGACGGAGTTGTTGCCACTCCTTCTCCGCAGGGGTGAAAGGCATATCCTTGCGCCTTTCGATAATGGGGATGTACGAGGGCAGGAAGGAGGCAAGGGCATCCGTGACGAAGGAGAAGAGGGCCTCCTGGGCGTTTTGTGAGGAGGCGTGGGAGTGGGGGTGGAGTGTGGAATGGGAAGAGCGGTTGAAGAATTCTGCATCGAGGTCATCGAAGAAGATACCGCCGACACCGCGCGCCTCACCACGGTGGGGAATGTAGAAGTACTCGTCGCACCATTTTTTGAAGCGCGGGTAATAAGTGCCGTCATGTTTATCGCAGACGTTCTTGATTGTTTTGTGGAAGTGTTCGCAGTCCTCTGGGAATAGGTATGAGGGCGTTAAATCTGTCCCGCCCCCAAACCACCAGTTCTTGTCGCCGCTGAGCGGGTTCTTTGGGTCTGCAGTCTCGAAGTAGCGGTAGTTGAGGTGGACGGTTGGGGCCATGGGGTTTTTTGGGTGCAGAACGAGGGAGAGACCTGCGGCGAAGAAGTCCAGAGAGTCGACGTCAGCGGCGACGAAGGACTTGTGATCTGCGCGCATCTTCTCGATGGCTGGGCGCGGCAGTTTGCCGTAGACAACCGAGACGTTGACGCCAGCTTTTTCGAAGACGTTACCATCCTGCAGAACGCAGGAGATGCCACCGCCGCCGCTGGGGCGGCTCCATGTATCAGATTTGAATGATTTCCCATCAATCCTGGATAGTTCATCCACGATCTTCTGCTGGTGCTCCTTTATGAGCTTCTCCATCCGCAGACGCATTGGCGAGGTTTCGGTGATGGAGGCTTCACGTTTGGTCGCTTCATCTAGTTCCGCTATTGAGGGGGCGTCAAGTTTGGATTCATTATCGCCGGTTACCTGAGAGTGTGGATTAGGTTTTATCTAGAACTAGATAGAATCAATATACGAATATAGATTTTAATTTACCATTGAGTAGATCATAGCTCCTATAAAGACTACGCCAACGCAGATTCGGAGATAAGGTCTCCAAACGGTATTCCGCTCACTGGGCCGCGGTTTCGGCCCATTTGACATTCTGCATAATTGGCTTCTGGGTAAGCCGGCCAATTGGCCCCATGGCATGGCCCTACTACGGCTCATGACCCTTGGGAAATGCGAATGGAGGCGATGGGGAACCATTTTGGAAGCCATATTATGAGGAGCTGGGACGCCCCCCGATTGAGTGATTCGAGAGGATGAAGGGCGCTAGATACGAAGAAATATCAGTAGCCATCTATCCATGGGTATTCTGCAGAATAATTTTGGCATTGGTTGTTAGCTGTGACAATGCAGAGAATTAGCCCATAGTCAAACATGAGGGAACTGGTATTCCGATATCACGTGTTGGGGCACACTGGATCAATATATTTTCCGGGATAAAACAGGCATTACGTCATAACCGTAAATGTTTGGTTGGTTTGCAGGGCTGATTGAACATGTCCTGAAATTTTAGTATAGCAAGAGTGGCTTGGGAAGGCAAGAAGACTGAAATCCGAAGGAGTGACGGGCCTTCAGCAGATATCGAGTCATATATGCTGGCTCCTCTTTCGCCTGTCGTGTGGAGTTGGCAATAGCACCTGTAATGCTGGGCACTAGTACACCTAGTCTGATGTCCTGCCTGGCAACAAGCGAGCCCAGGCCTGGAAGACTCGAGAGAAGACAAGAGAACTCAGATGACACATCCCTTAGTTCGACGCAGGAACTGTCAAGACATGGGCCGTGGACAGACGATCTGGAGCCGCGTGATAGACAGCGCCTGCTGGGAAACTCTGATGACTCGCATCCCTCCACATCATCGTCACGTGTATCAATGATTCACCAGCCGCCTGCTTAGTCACCAGGCTATAATAGGCGGGGTTCAGCCGCGCCTTCCTGGCGTCACCTCACCTCACCTCATCCACCGTCATCCACCGCTATCTCTCCAGCTCTCAACAGTCTAGCCACCATCCTGGTTTCTGGCACAGCGCATATATAGAACCTCCGTTGCCCACCCGCTGCACCTCTCTTCGTCTCTCTGCCAAAACTATTTCAGCTCGGGATATTCATTCCACACCCACCATGCGGTCCAAGTTCAAGGACGAGCATCCGTTTGAGAAGCGTAAGGCAGAAGCTGAGCGCATCCGAGCGAAATATACAGATCGCATTCCGGTAAACCTCCCCATCAACTGCCATATACATTATATCTCTCCTATAACCCAAATGTCCTTCTTCCTATATAGGAGATATGATATATGTTCGTTCACCTTATTATACAATCATCTTCCGTGCTAATACAACATGGCGGTGAATCAGGTAATCTGCGAAAAAGTCGAGAAATCAGACATCGCAACTATCGATAAGAAGAAGTACCTCGTCCCTGCAGACCTCACCGTCGGCCAGTTTGTCTACGTTATCCGTAAGCGAATCAAGCTCTCGCCCGAGAAGGCCATCTTCATCTTCGTCGATGAAGTCCTGCCGCCCACTGCTGCTCTGATGAGCAGCATCTACGAAGAGCACAAGGATGAAGACGGTTTCCTATACATCACGTATGTTTATCCGCCTTCTTACCTTCCCTACCTATCTATGAAGTAAAATGCCTTGGATGCGGTAACTGATGGTTTGCATAGATACTCCGGCGAGAACACTTTTGGTAAATCTTAAAGGAGCTAAAAAGCTCGAAAATAAACAACCAAAAGAAAGAAGAAAAAAAATAATACGCCGTCTTTCTTTGCTTGCTTAGGACATTTTGATTCTTTAACTTTTTTTTGCTTGTACAAGGGGCAGGTTTTTCTTCCTTGGGAAATGTGAGCTGGAACACTGAGAGACGCGATATGGAACTATTCATGGGGACTTGAAATCTTAATCGGGAGCATTTTATGTGTAACTGGCGTTTTTTTTTTTTTTAATTATTTTTATTATTGTTTGCTTCGTTTGGGATATAAACGACCACACCTTTTCTACTCTTGTTTCCCTACATATTTCTGAATAATTTTATTTCCTCCTTGCTGCAACTGTCCGTAAGTTTCGCTTTCTTGCTCTCTCACATTTTCGTGACTGCAATCTCGTTCAATTTTCGTTATAACTCTTACTGCTATATTAGCTCCTCTACGCTTTTGGCGTGGGCCCATCAATATATGCCTCCTGTGCAGTTAGTTATTGTGTTGAATAGGATAAATGAGAGGTATCTCCTGTCTTCCTCGTTTTGTGTTTGGGATGCCTCGGAGTCCGGAGGATTTTTTCTTCTCCCTTACCTTTTGATCTTGCTCTCTCACCAATACCAACGACTACAATGCTTACCTGACAGATAATGCGAATCGATACCTACATACATGTAAGATCAGAGACGGGTCGCCGTTACCACTACATAAAAGAGAATGCAAAGTGCTTTTCCCCCCTCTCTCTGAGAAATCATGTTTTTCGTCAACGCCCTTTTTGCTTCTCGCTTTCTTCTCGTATGTGTCATGTTAACACGCCAACGAGGTGCCATGCCAGCGGCTGGCGCTGTATTTCTAATCCATTGCATCCGGGTCGAAAAATCGGGTGCGGAGAAATACAAAGTGTGGAAGCAGGCAAATGCAAACGTGGTCCCTGCTGCCTAAACTTATACTTGCTGATGAAGCTTGTTTGTCTTTGGTCTCTTTTCTCTTGATGACGTGATGCATGACCTGCTTTATTTATACCTATCACTGCAAATCGCAAACAATAGAAGACAACAGGGAGAATAGAGAGAGAGTTGAAAATGCTGAAAACATCCCTTGCTGACAAAAGGCTAACAACTTCCTCGGAATGGCCGGATAATACACACACACACACACACATATTTATATATATACAGTAGAATGCAGAGTAGTACTGCCTTGTGCATGCCCAGTGCACAATCTCATAAACAGCTTAGGTAAATATAATACAAACATTCCTTGGGGAATTCTCAGACTATGCAGAACCTTGCAGAGATCTGCTATGCTTGAAACGGACAGCGCGTATAACCTCCCCTACTGTCGGAGACGGTTGAATGACGACAACAGCGATCAGCTCGTTTCTTCCTGCGTCGAGAGACACAGACGCACAGAAGTTGTTACTGGCAGTGTGTCTGCCATTAAACACTGAAAGGGTATGGTCGAGGAACCGTAGCAAAACACCCCAACCAGCGATATCCCCATGTTGGCCAAGATAAGGGAGCCTTAGGTTGTAGAACAACCTCGTCCTACGGAACGTGAAGGACAAAGATGGATGGGGCGTGTCAATCCATGGGGAAGGTAAAGTTGGGTAGGTAAGGGTGGCTAAATCGCGGCTGGAGCATCGACACAAAACATCCCATCTCATACATTAAGATCCAGTCATGTCGTTCGGCGCGCCGCTTCCTCTCCTTCTCCCTTTCCCGTCCCATCCACGCACCAAACCTGGTCGACCCCCTCATCATCCACCACTCCTCCCGCCTCGTACCATCCCTCCATTTTGGCGAAGAGCCTCTCTATACAGACTCCCACCCGCCCCACCACCCCTTCATCCTCGCCAAGCCAATATTGAACAAATAACGCGCATTGGCCGGCTGATCGGGATGTTTCTCTCTATGTTCGCGGCGGATGCGCAAGTATGCGGCTGAAGTGCCGATGAAGACGGCGAACAGCGGGTCTCCGATTCTGTTTTGGTTGCGTGTTGTTAGGTGGTTAGTTACAGGATGAGGTTTCCGAGTTTCTTTTGCATATGGTTTTCTTTTGGAGGGTAGAATTTGGCAGCGGTGTTGAGGGGGAGATTGGAAAATCGGCAGGGTATAATTATTTGCGTCCAATACGTTGGGAATTTGTTGTTCATAACACTGACCTCGAGATTAGGTGCGGGTAAACCACCGCAGTAGACATTAGTTTTTTCTGGGCTTCAGAATCTTTCTATATATTTATTTTTAATGGTTGCCATGCGCAACTATCCCTTGGTTGAGAAGAAACAAATTTTGGCTTGATAATGAAGTCGCGGAGGAGCTATGTATTAGTTAGGTGATCCACCCGCCGCTTACATAAGGGGATGAAACATTCGGATAGCTCCTATAGCCCTACCTATATCTAGTCAGGTAGATGGAAGGTATTGAAAAAGAGGGAAGATATGATAAGAATAAGTACTGTTTTATTGTGTGGATTTATCGACGGATGTCAGTCAGTGAATATCTTGTCCGATAAACGTGGCCTTGGGGACCAAGGGAATTTAAAGCAGCACTGCCAAATCAACTTTCTAATATCTAGTGGTTATATGAAGGTGGATTTGCCTGTGTTTGAACATGTGTTTCTATAGTGTTCAGCCAAGGCCTCTGAATAACCCATACATATTCCATATGATGAGCTATTTTCTTTGATCATATAAAAGAGATAATTTTTCTGTAATATTATATACAATGACTGTATCAGCCTTTCTCTGAATGTGTATTTAATAATTATCATCTCACTACTGTATTCTTCTTTCTCTGCTTTTGTATTGATTTCTATTCTTAATTATTTTTATTTTTATTCATCTATTTTAAAATTCTTGCATCTTTGTATAAATGAGAAAGATTGATAATAATCTCTACTGCTAATACTGTTGTTAAAACAGCTGCTGTATAAAAACAGTTATAGTATGATTTTATTATAGAGATAATAGTATAGAGAGAGAATATACTGAGAATCAGCAGATAAAATAGATCAAAGAATATATAGATAATATATACAGAAAAACAGAATAAATAAATAGTAATATATAAATTTATTTTATTTCTATTTCTTTTTTATTTCTGTGTATAAAGAGAGATGAAATTTGATAGATTAATTTTTTACTACTACTCAATCTTCATTATCTGTATAATAGAAATAATATAATAAAAAAAAGTTTTTAAATAATTAGATTATCTCTGAGCAGAAGATAATCTGATTTTTTAGTAAAAAAATTTTCAATTATTTACTCAGAGAGAGTCATTTTAAAAAAAAGTATATAAATATTAAAAAAGAAAAGATTGTATAGATAATAGAAAAGAATTTAATTAAATAATATTAAGTAGTTTTTATTAATCTGTATTATATACAGTAGAATAGATAGAAGAATTTTTATTCTCATTCAGTTGATCAGATTTTAAATAGTATATTAAAAATTTACAGATTTATAAAATATATATAAAAATATACAGAGTTTATAAATAGAAATACAGATATTTTAATAAATAGCTATATTAAACTGAATATAATAAATTTTATATATTAATACTGAAAGAGATAGTAGAGAGATGAAAAATATATAATTGAGTTTCTTCTCTATATAATAATTGATTTTTTTATAAATTATTATATACTGCTGAGAGAATAGTTTAGATAAAAGATATAATTAACTAATCTATTTATAATTGAGCTGTTAAATAAAAAATCAACACTCTGCTGATCTCTTATTCAGATTATAAATAATAGTAAAATAAATTAGAATAATAGACTTGAATATTTAATTATTATATAGTATAAAAATTATATTTTTTATTTAATATCACAGATTATATTTTATCTATTCTATAGATAAAATATTATATAGAAGTCTCTATCTCAGTTCTATTATTATTAGCTCTGATATAATATTCATTTATTTAAAAATAAAAATCTATATAAGTAGATTTTCTACAGAATTTATTTTGAGTGAATAAATAAGTTTTTTATATATATAGATATATTAGAGATGACAAAGAAGATTCATACTGAATAATTTATAGATATATAGAAAATAGAGTTTAATAAAATAAATAAAAGCAGTATCTGCAGAGCTGAGTGATGAAATAATAACTTTTTAATCAGCTGTTATCTCAGTCAAATTAATTGAAAGTTTATATAAAAAATTACAGAGTTTAATTCTAGCTTATTAAATAATTACTATTTTTTATAAACTACAGTTATTTTATCAGAGCTGTTGAAGAAATCTTTCTAATTATAAATAAATAAATAATTTATCTGATTTCATTCTGAGAATAGATTCTTTTATATTACTTTTTCTAAGATCTTTGATATAAGTCTGAAGTAGCTTGATAGTAAAAGTTTATTTAATTCAGATAATTTTACAGCTCAGAGATTTTTACAGCTGTTAAATTATTTTTATATAATAATACTACAGAATTCTACTCTTTTTTAGAGAAAATAATCATTAATAAAATACTCAGCTGTCACTATATAATAAAATTAAGATCTATTCTAGAGATTATAAAAAAGCTTAAGTTGATATATATATAATTAAAAATAAATTTGAATAAACTCTTTGTCTTTTTCAGAAGAGTAAGAAGATAATTTATATATATTAATTATATTATATTATATATTTTTTAATCTTGAGTATTTATTTATTTATATATACAGACTGTCTCAGTAGAATTTATAAAAATAAATATTCTTTTTTTCTCTTTTTTCTCTTTTATATATAAAATATTTTCATTTTTCTCTTTCATTTATAATGATAATAATAATAAATTGATTATAAAATCCTCTTTTTCTCTGTCTTCTCTCTCAACTTTTTTTCTCTTTCTCTCTTCAGTTTCTTTATTATTATTCATTAGTATATATAATTTTTTTTACATCAGAATTCATTATTTTTTTATTGAAATTTATTAAAATTATTTATTTATTATTCACTCTATCTTTTTCTCATTTTATATACTGTATGAAATATTTATTTTATTATATCAAAAAAGAAGAACACTGACAGAGATTTGTATATATAGTCAGAGAAAATTTTTAATTTTTTTTTTTATAAAAAAAAAATCAGCTCTTTTCTATTCTTCAACAGTATCTCTTTTCTTTTTATAAATAATATAAATACTTCTCTATTTTTCTATTGTATAGTATAAAAAGCTGATTATAATATAAAAACTTTTATTTTATATAATTCTGTTATTACTCAGTAGAATCTGACTCAGATTAAATTAATTAATTTATATTATTCAGCTACTGAATATTAAAATAAATGATAAAAATAATCAGAGTATAATATAATATATATCAGCAATTTTTAGTTGAATATATTTTATTATAGTTTTTAATTCTGTGTTCTGCTTACTATCTCTGATTTTAATATATTATATATTTATATATATATCAAAGCTGATCAAGTGTTGTCTCATCATCTATTATATATAAATACTATTCTGATTCAATTTTATAATAGAACTTTTATCACAGACTGTATACAGTATTATATATTTTTTAGATTTAAATCATTTTTATTATACTGCTGTATATACAGTTACTTTGAAGAAGTATATATTAATTATAAATAATATAATTATATAGTATACTGCTCTTTCCACAGCTCTGCAGATCAGTCTGATATATATAATAATTTTTATAATAGACAGTTATCACAGCTATAAATATCAGCAGTAGATAATATAAATTATAATATTTAATCTAATACACAGAATAATTTTATTTTCATTGAATAAAGTATATATAAAACTTTTATTTTTCTATTCTATTCTATTCTGTCTCTTTTTAATTTTTATTTCTTTATTATTATTATAGATATATATATATTATTATTATAGAGTTAGATCTAGTTGTATAGACTGTATATAATACTCAGATAGTTGATTTATATTTCTATACAGTATCTGAAATTAGTAACTTTTTAGTAGAGATAAAATCAAGTAGATCATTTAGCTAGTGATTATATAACTTTCTATATACAAAGTCATATATATCTGAATTTAATAGTATTTCTCTTACTAAATACAAGTATTCTGTATATATGAATATGAAATTGAACACACATCAGCAATAATCAGGTTATATACAGTGGTGTTGATGACTGAGTGACTGTGTCTCTGCATATAATCAGGTTATTGTGAGGGTTGGGTTCAAACACGCTGTAACCCGACCCACCTATAACTGTTTATAGCTAGATCAATCATATCCCAACGCCAGCAACTCAACCATGCTCTCTATATAGATATTGATTCATAAATAAACAGGAAAAAAAAGGCGGAGCGGTGACAAACATAAAATTACAAAAGACCCGTATATAAGATCCCAACAAAAGCCTAACGCGCATATAGTCTATATATAACATGAAAATGGCGGAGTTAAAGGCAATACAGAAAAAACCGAAAAGAAACAAGAAGAGAGAAAGAAAAGGACTCATTATAGAGAGGGACAAAATAAACCTTTGCGCTCCACTCTATCTTCATATGAGCGCCCCCCCCTTGCACAACATCCCAGTTACACAACCTTCCCAAATGCCGGAATCAAAGTCTGCGCAAGCCAGAAGCTAAACACCAGCTTCGGCCCCGTCATCAGCAACTTAGGCGTCAATCCCTTGAAGAAACTAGTCGGACCTTCATTCCTGATCATGCTGCTGACAATCCGGAAGCCAGACTCTGGGTTTTCGAAATTCCTGTTCTGAATCCGGGTTTTGATGACATCAAGCGGCGCGGAGACAATGAGGGAGGCGCTTGCGCCGGCGATGGATGCGACGAAGTTCTGTAGCCAAGAAGCGGAGTTGTAATCCTTTAGGCCATAGATGTATTCTTTGGCAAATGCGGAGCCGCCGAAGAGCTGGTGGTTATTGTCAGATGATGTTTTGGCGGGTAATCAGAGCAAAACTATTTTCTTAATTTTTGATATATATTGCAACATACCGCAAAGGAACCGGGGGCATTTCGCGCTGCGGTCCAGCCTGCGCCGCGGTAAAGACCCATTCCTTCATCTTTGATAATTCTGAACAGGCCGCGGCCCCGGAATGCTTCTGGGTTGGTCTGTCGCTTGATCTTAAGGACATCGAGCGGGAGAAGCACAATTTCTCCAATGCCGATCAAGCTGTAGAAAAGATGATCATATTAGAGGGGCTTTTTATCAGTCTCATTTATTTGGTCCTCCTCCTTACCTTCCAGCTGTGGCGTGCATGATCGCCTTCCCAGTACCCTTGCCAAACGCATTGTCGAACGACGAGCCATGGTTCTTGGCCAAATAATCCCGGACGAATGGTTGTCCGCCGTATTTATATATCCGTTGCAATACCTAAAGACGCGCGAGGACGAAGAAAATAGATATTAAGTATTAGCAAAGAGGACAACCAGAAAATAAGGTATTGATTTTCACTGGCAACAACATACCTTGTATCCTGCAGCATATCCGAGACCGGGGAAGAGAGAGGTAAACTTCTTAGCGATGGAGGCATCGGCGAAGTCTTTGAAGACGACTTTGTTCAATTGGGAAACGCTAGCGATCTTAAGATAGTGTGAGTGCACTGGGCATCGAACATCTCAGTTGGCATCTCAGGCGGCATGTATCTGGTCATAACTGTACCTTTCCTTGATTGCTCATAAGGCGTTTTGCGGTGGTATCAACCTGGAGAATTGACAGAAGAATTTAGTTGGAGGTATCCTGGGTAAGGAGGGGTGAAGGCGCCGTACGGGATGGAAAATGAGGAGTTCAGCAATGCCAGAAGAACCTAGAGGCAACTGTTAGAAGGGGGGGTTTCTTAATTAGCATTCAAAAGACACAGTAACAAGCATACCGGAACCGAGCAGACGAGCCATCGCCGATTCTCTCTGGGCATCCTTTGCGGCGGAACCTGCGCCGGGAGCAATTGCAGGAGCTGGGGGAGACATGGCTTTCTGCGCAACTGCAAAAGCACACTTAGCGACGGGGTACACAGGAACAGGATAGGAGGAGGAAATCAACGGCGAGGTGAAGGAGAAAGGTATAGAGTAGAAAAAGGGAAATCAGAAAAAAAAGCAACACCATCGACAATTCTTCACTTTTGTCGCCAAGCCCGTAATTATTTTCTGGTGCCGGGTCTTGGCATTCAGGTGTCGAGGAAGTGCGCAACTAGTCCCCATTTGGTCTAGAGCCTGGCCTGAGCGGGTTATGTAATCCACAGGGGTTCATCGTTGACTACAGCTCGTCCTCATCCTCGTCCTTGCCTTGTGCGATGTCAACAGCATCCAAATTGCTGTACTCCGGGCTCTGTGCTGTGGGGCCAGTATGGGGAATGGCGGGGTCCCCGGGATATGGAAGCAATAGGCTCTTAGCCCTGAGACTCTGGACGAGGCGCGTTATCTTCTCAACGATCCAGTCAATCGAATTGCTGTTTGCAGAGTTGAATGAAATCTCCGTTGCACACCTTGCTTCAAAGGGAATGCATGAGTATTTCATATAGTGAGCATGTTGACCTGTGTTTATCTTTGTTTGTCTTGCTTGGTGCCTCGGTATTTAATGCGCTCTATCCTTTATGTCTACCTATAGACGAAGGGATTCACCTCCCTGTGGCCGTCATAACATATTTTCTATTTCAACACCTTGTTATCGTGCTGTTGGATTCAAGACCTGAGTCTTATCCCGGAAGTATCCATGATGCGAATTACCTTCTCCTTTCACTCCCTCTATGTAAAGAGCAAGAGGGGAGAGGGTATAAATATATACCTTCAATTTTCCACCATAACATTTCTTTCCTTCAACAATAGTCTACCGCATATCTTTCCATTGATCCCCTTGAATATCTCGAAAGCAATTTTGCAAGTCTTGATAAGTCTTGAGTCTCTCTCTTCCTCTTTCATACCCACACCCGGCAGACCTAGTGAGATATCACGGCCAGCAATGCAACCGTCCTACGTACTCCTTCCCATTCTCCTGCACATTTCCTTCATAGCGGATATAGCCACCGCCCTGTCACCGAGAATCAACCTTATCGAAAATACGCCCGTTGCTCTCGCCCCAGGTATCATGGTAAACACGCTCGACCCAGATTATCTTCCCGTCGAAGACTCCACAAGGTCCAGGATGATGTCCTATCGCCGTCGCACACATGTAAAAGATATCATGGCGACTCTTGCCCCGCGACAGAACAAGCCGGTTTGCCCGCCGGAAAAACCATGGCTCTGCGAGGGGAAAACGTGTTTGAACAAGTTTTTTCAGGTCTGCTGTAAGGGCGGTGGGGTTTGCGATAACCCTCAACATTGTGTCAGTACGATGTTCAATACGATTACGTGTGGTTAATTAGTTAGGAGTTGGATGGGATGGGCTATGTTCACTTCTTTGTCGTGTGGTTTTTTTTTTTTTTTTTTACTTCTTTAGTACTAGCCATGACCTTTATGGTTTGCATACTCCTACTCCACGGTCCGCACAAGCATAGCTTGCAATCATGTCATTGGAATGCATACGGATTATCCAAGGAACTGGGAATGTCTTATCCATGCTTCTCATTCGCCTTTGGCAACGATCGGGCGCACGATCTGTGCTCCGTAGCCCTCAAAGGGCTGAAAACTCACACCACGTGACATTTCTGCGCTCTCTTGACAACCTTGGAAGCTTCGACTTTCACACGGCAACATACAAAAGGATAACGCGCGCAATGAGCTGTGTCAGATTACACCATCCATCATAAAATATGATAAAATAAAAGCAATCCTATAATTTACAATTCAAATAATAAATAAAGAGAAGAGAACCACCCCGAAAATGTTCTCCTCACTCCCCCTCATAGAACCTCGTGAAGTAAGCTGCTTCTATATCATTCCCTCCACATACAACCAGGGAAAAATAAAATAAAAATAAAAATAAAAAATAACCCCAGCATCACCCCCAAATCCTAAGGTAAACCACTAACCGTCCCCCCAAATCTAGTCACATTCCCTCTGGTACATACCTTCCCATCCCAACCGATTCCGCAACCACAACAACAGCCATCACCAGGGCTCACACGCCCGCCGCCCGCACCAACAACAGCAGCAACATGGCGCTCAGCGATCCAACAACGCTTCAATCGCAGCCACCACAGCCGCCGTCTCATCATCAGCCGACTCCCTAGCAACACTACTTCTCGAGGAACACGCGCTGCAGGTCCGCAAGCAGAACATCGCTGCATTTGGATACGCGTGGATCAAGCCGGCGGGATGCTCGAAGACAATGCTGGGCGTACGGGAGGAGGAGGCGGAGAGGGAGGAAGGGGCTGCAGCGGCAGCGGCGGAGGCGGAGGCGGGGATGGATTTTGGGGCAGATGGGGCGGATTTGGTCGGTGGTGGAGTTGAGGAGGAGGGCGAGGATGGGGAGACATTTGAAAGAAATTTGGATGATGATATTCCCGATGCAGATGCGGATGGGGAAGGGGAGGATGAAGCGGAGGAGGGGGATGTAGAGGGGCTGGTTGAAGAGGGAGAGGAGGGATTGGAGGAGGGGGATGCTCTGATGGAAAGAGATTTGGATGATGAGGTGCCCGATGGGTTTGGTATCGATGATGAGGAGCATGGGGATGATGAGGATGAGGATGAGGATGAGGATGAGGAAGAGGATGACGAAGATGAAGATGGTGATTATTTCGATAATCAGCCTGACCTCGACGATGATATACCCTCCGCACCTCTCTCTGCCTCGGGATTGAGGGATGAGGAGGACAGTATGATGGAACGTGATCTCGATGCCGACATCCCCAGTCTAGCGGAGGATGGCATTGCACAGCAACAACAGTGGGAGCACACTGACACCGACGAGGATGATGAAGACGATGAGGAGGAGGACGAGGAGGACGCATACGCAACCGCAGATATGGAAGTGGATACCCATGCATCCCCCGCATACCACTTCCATTCAAGCAGTTCCGCCATGCCAGCCTCCTCCATACCGGATCTTCACCCAAGCTCTTCCTTTGTGCGCCGCGAGATAGAAGCGGAAAGTCAGTTTTTGCGGAGATGGGGTGGAGGCGGAGGTGATAATAGTCCCATTGGCTTTGAATCACCGGAAAACTTACGCAACCAACGGAGGAGGCCGAGGAGACGGTCTGCGATGACTGCATCGTCAGATAGTCTTGATTTGTAGTGGCTGCGTGATATTTTCTGGTCGGTCACCCTGTATTGATAATTTCCATATATTATGACTTCAAGACCACATACCCGTTTATGAAGCTTTTCACCGGAAAAGTAAAATGCTGGGGGCTGCATCTTTATTTTCTTCGGCTTTCGCTTTATTTCGATTAACGTAGCACAGCAAGGAGTTATGGAGCAGCCAGTCTAGATGGCTATAGGTCTTTCGTTATGGTAATAAACTAAATCCATGAATTCTGCTAGGCTAGGGACTAGGGGTGGATACATCATTTTTGTCTGATGGAATGAGTCGTTGATGATGCATATTATGTTAAAGTACCCTTTAAAATCACCGTAATTCTCTTCACGCTCGTAAATATAGACAAGGGAGTTGTGTCGGTATTGGACCTGGCGGGAGGGTGGTGGGAGGGGACTAAGGATATCACAGCCGAAATACATCAATTTCTCGTACCTATTATCACTAGCATAAACATACATCGCATGGACATACATACATTACTACAACTTCCCAATAAAAAAAAGGCCAAAAGAAAACAGGAAATGTAAATTCAATTGCACTTTTTTGTCTATCTGCCCGTCGTCAACCTAGACACAGCTATAGCCAAATCACTCCATGGATCAGGAGGAAACCAAATAGGAAATATAACGATAAGGATAAATCCCACGCCTGTCTAAGAGAAACAATCCCACCCAATACCCCCGCATCTGATACCTGCCAATCTATGACTGATATTACAAAATACATCAGGTCCAAAAAAGGGACAAATCTCCCGCGCTCATGACTCTATTGATTTTTTTTTTTTTTTTTTTTTTTTTTTTTTTGGCCTCCCGCTCAAAAAGGAAGAAAGGAAGGAAGGAGAAAATATGTTAAGCAAAGGTTGATATGTGTACATCAAAAAAGTCATATGCGACTGAGTTCGTTATCCTCTGCCAAGGGTGAAAAACCAGGGTTCATACTAAGTGGCAAGGAGGGTGCCGTGCCTTATAGGAAATATCGAAAATTAATATAATAATTAATTTGAAACCCAATGAGAAGAAACAGTGAAACGAAACGGAAAGACACAAAGGCCGAGGAAGAGCGAAACACCATTAACTTTAGGTGGTCCCTCGATGTTTGTTCATTCATGAAAATAAATAGCCGGTTTTGTGCGTGTGTGCGAGTGTGTGTGGGTGAGTAGTGAAAGAAAAATCGCTTAATCCGCCTTCATGTCCCTTTTCGTATCTCTTTCACTTCCTAGCTGCCAGCCAAGGGATGGGTTGTGAAGGCATATCCATGGATAAAATCAAAACTGACACGCAGGCGATGATGGTAGATGAACAACGGATGAGCTAGGGAGGAGGCTAGTGAATTAATATAGGTAATTGTCGTTAAAAATTAGTGGATTAGATATCATGATATTCATTGTGTGACGTTGTCGAGAGGAGAGAGAAATGGCATCTCGTCCGCCAGGTCGAGATTGAGTCACGCAAGAGAGACAACAACCCATGGAGAAAATGGGTGCGGACCGGCGAGGCAAGCTGGGGAAGGTCAAGAACTGAGTTTCCCCTTTTTGTTTTCCGCATCAAAGAAAGGGTTATATGATACCCCTGGCATCCCATGGTTTATTCCCTTCCCCCATGTCCTTTATTATCCGTGATCCATGTTTGCATCTGATGTTATCCAGGCGCGGTAATGCCGACGTAAATTCATCGCCTCACTCTCGGGGAGAATGTTTGGTGTGATTCTCTATTGATTTTCCAGATTCAAGAGTCCAGATTCAAAAGAGCCACACATAAGCGAAGAGCAGGAACACGGCGCAAAAGAAGCCTAACCAGACTCTCCAGCCAACGCCCGTTCTCTCAGCCATGACAAGCATCCGATTCATGGTTCCACGTAACCTCACTCTGGTGCTGTCAAAGGTATCGTTCATTTTTTCGGCAAGGGCCGAGGACTCGCGGATTTCATCACCGATCGCAATGGTTATCTGTTTTTTTGTATATAAAAAACCGGGTTAGGAACTAAATCTAGAAGGACTTTTTTGTACAAGGGGAAAGCCACTAATGAATAGAATGAGGAGTTGCTGCAAACGCATACATCTTTCAACATTTTCACTTTCGCGGACATGCCTTCAAGCTCCACATCGTTCTGTGACTCGAGTGAGTCAAGCACTGCATCGGAATACTGGCCTCTGGATATACGTTCCTGTCAGCACAAGTCACACTGTTCCATTGTATACATTCAACAAACATTCGATTAAAAACCACATATCTCAAATGCGGCGCTCTGGAAAAAAAAGGGGTCCCTTTCCCAAACATACCTCGAGTTAGGCGTTGCCACCCGATAAGACCCTGCCGAAGCACCTCTGTCTGGATTTCCATTCGGCGACCCGGAGAAGCCATATCCGCCAACTTTGCCGGCTGGCGACCTGCTTCCATGCCGAGCCCTCTCGCTGCTACCGCCACCATATGAATCGAAGAGGCTCGAGGAAGCTCGAGGATCGCGCTGGTGAAGCGTGGAATGGGTGAACCTGTCAAAACGGGAGATGTTAGGGGGAGAGTGCCCATAGAAAAAGTAATGCCGATAAAATTTGTCTTTCTGTAAGACATACCTCGACGCCATTATTGCGATATCAGCATGGAACGCAAGGGACAGGCATTATTTGTGTTGGGGAAGAAAAAACGGGAGAGAGTTGGACGGGAGATCCTTACGTCGGCTCGACTCGACCGCACTTACGAAGAAGCCTTTGCCAAGACAATATAAGGACCTCCTAACTTTACACTGCCAATTCCATTCATATAACTACTATATATGACGGATTGAATGGTGAGATATTAACTAACTAGTTAGCTAGGAACTAGTTGGTAAAATATTTTTATAAATAATTAAATTATTTTTGTTGACTAGTCATTCTCTGCCTTCATTGTTGATGCATCAATCTTCTCTTCCTTTCACCAGCTAGCATCGAGCCTACCGCCTTAAAGGGGGACCTCCTATCTTGTTCCTCCTATCTTGTTCCTCCTATCTTTTGGAAATCTTACCTTGAAAAACAACTCTAGTGACAGAATGATGCCTATTCCAACCCGCATATCAAATGACAGAACGACTGACTGTCTCTCTCACCACAAGAACGAGGACGGCAAGGGGCTGTAAGCAATCCCAAGAAGATGGTGCGAACTTCTCCCATCAAGACCTTTTCTACCGCAGAAATATGAGAAACAGTCCACCTAGGTTGAATAGCAGAAGATAGTAGAAAGGGATAATAATAGTAATGATATTAGTAGATAGCAAGTAGGTAGTAGCTAATCACTAAGAGCAGAAAGAGAAGAGAAGAGGAAAGAAGATGCGCGAAGTACAGGACATGTGTATATATATGTATATACATAGAAACAGTGGTAGTGAGAACATAGTAACAAAAGAAAAGAATAAATGAAGATAAATGAGGATATGTAAGGAAATAGTAAACGAGTGCTTTACAGTTGCCCTCCCTTTTCCTAGGAGCTGCCCTCGCCGACTTATATATATATATGTATATTGATTGCATATAAGCACGCTTGCATCGAGCATATACCCGATTAGTATATTGTTGGATGAAGGCGGTATATCAATCGCGTAGTAGATGTAGGCAATAATGTGTTGTAATCACATCCCCGATATAAGAAGTAGTTATGTGTTGTTATTCAATTGCTCGATATGGTAGTGAATTTATAGTTGCTAGGGGCAAGGGAAGGGACAAAAATAATTCCTTTTGTTCTTGATTCTTCTTCTTCTCTTTACCGTGACCATCGTCAAAGAATTCTCTGCCCTCCTGCGCGATTTTTGAAAATTTAAAAATTTTAAACATTCTGCTGCTCCCTGGATGTGGTTGCCCACTATGCTGCGGCTAGCGGTCGCATATATCACTATGAGCGAACCATTTAACAAATAGTTACGTTGGCTTTTTGCTATGGATAACCTAGTGGTCATAGTGCTATGTTATCACACCCTGATAACCATGGGTCGTACCTGTGAGCGTTGGATCCCCAAATTGGGGATACCGAAAATGTTGCGAGGCATGTGCCTCTGCAGGCGATACCCGCAAACCTGTGAGTATTCCCCTTTTATCCCTTCTTTTCCCAGGTGGCATTTCATTCTTCCAAGGCAGCATTTTATATAGGTAAGTCACGTCTTTAGCAATATGGATATACTAATAATCATGCTAGGTGTTTGATGCGCCTCTATTGAGGCACGTCATGCGTGGGCGCGTTTACTTTCTGTGGGGTAGTGGCCGGGGAGAATGTGGCCAGCCTTTTCTCGTCAGGCAGCGCGTTCGATGATCCCATAGGAGACAAAGTGGTATTTGGTGGAGTGATAGAATCGGATGATGATCAGGACTTCAAATCCTCAAAAGAGCGCCTTCGCCGCTTGGTAAAGCGGTTGGACGCACTCCGTTTGGCACGGTTGTCTGTGGCTGTCCTGGTAAGCGACTCTAACCTGGCAGGTCATTGGTGTGAATTGTTACAAATCTCACAAGATTAGGTTTCTAACCGGGGAGGAATGGGGCCTTACCCATGGAGACCAGAAGCTGAAAGATGCCGAGATCCTCTGCCCGAATATCTATCAAATCTCGACGCTGCAATCGCATACCAGCTTCCTGCCAATGATCGGTACCCTGATACAGTTGTGCTTTTTCAAAATGGGCGAATTTTGAAAGTCAGATGCGGATGCCCTTTCTTTTTTGCCGCCATGGGTCGAGGTATGCCTGCTCATACTCCCTCTATCTCAAATAATAATATCTATTGAAAGGCTCGCTGACCACAACTAATCATTGTAGGGTGTTGAGAGGGCTTGCTCTGCTCAGCCTGTTGCCAACGACGCGTCCACCTTTCCAACAACCCTGATGAGGAAAATACCAGAAAACACCCCAGAGCCGAAACACTCATCATCAGCGATACATGGGTGGAACAAGAGCCGCCGTATGTATCAGGTAATTTTATTGTATTTCACGCCCCAGAGTTTGATTGCGCTAATTTCTGATTTAGATCGAGATTGAGGTTAGAATTGAACGATTTGACGGAAGTTATGGTGGTGATCGCGCTCTGTTAGGCATTACTACGGCCACTGGGGCAAAGGAGCTCAATCACCACCAGCGCCATGCTGGTAGTAGAGGGGATGAATCAATCCAAACCCCTAACACCTTGTTGGAGGTCCTACACAAGCCCTATTCCACGTGACCCCACACATATCCATCGCTATATTAGCCACTAGATAGATGATAATAACCGACAGGGCTCAACCCCTCTTGCAAACCTATTGTGTTGTTCTCGCTTAGCTAGGTAATAATATACACAACATCGTTATCCTCCTACAAGCTACAAGCTCTTTTGCCCCAGTGGCACAACAATTATTCAGTTATGTTCCGGAAAAATAAAAAGTCCGGAACCGGACGCCGTAGCTTACCTATTTCCGGACTAGCGTTATCAGTGACATCCTGATCTGCACTTTATAGATCCTAAGGTTTGAGCCAATACCCAGTCATCTATGGAAGTTGCTAACGAAGAGCTTCCAAATTAGATGTCTGACTATCCGAGTGCTTTTAACGAAGATGTCTTAGCATCTATTTGCGCTATATCCTTCTCTCCCCTTTCTTACCTATTCTCTTCGATGATCAGCGCTCCTCGTCGCGTTAAGGTCCATATTACAAACCGCCTACGTTAAGAAACTTTACTTCTCCAACCTTACATAGTATAGGGCGCTCATAAAAATGGATGCAAACGACTTGGCTGATCAGACTCGAGCTCTGAGCCTCTCAGAGGACCCAGAAAAAACATTTCACATCTCTGACCTGAAGAGTGACAAGTTCCCAACGCTCTGGTATCGGATCCATGTCCTGGTTTATGACCTGCGCAATTTCGCCACCGATCCAACTGCACGAGAGCGCCTGGAGAGCGTTGTGGATGTTACCTACCTAGGCCAACCGTATTTTAATGCGGAAGAAGTGGCAGCACTTACAAGGACTGCCGTGGGCCATGATGGAGAAACGTTGAAAGAGAGAATCCAGCACACCCTGGAGGAACGGCTGAATCGTCGACTGAAGAAGCGGGTGGAGAGCGGAGATTTTCGAGTGTGTGCAGCACATGATTTGGCACCGATTTTTGAGAAGATGTTTGATATTAACCCCAAAAAACTGGCCAAGGACTCTAAGTTCAGGTCACTGGTCTCGATAAACGGGTTGAGACTGAAGAGTGAAGAAGAACTTTGGAATGGATTAGGAAGTGGCCCTTCGAAGGGTAAGAAAAAAGGGAAGAAGAATCGACCCTAGGGAAAAAGGGGCTGGGAAGTCACGGCCGAACTCACAACACAGCACTGACAATAACAACTCTGAACCTCACATTTTACACACTTCCATTTTCCTACTTCCCAACAGCCACTACAAAATTTGTTTATCTCCCACACTTTTCTGTCATCCTTTCAATCTTACTGTGAAATGGCGAATATTCACCCCGAAATCGATCAGGCATGGTTTCTGAGATGCTACGAAGAAAGCAGGACGGAGTATAAACAAGTGCACAAGAGCTGGGAGCAAGTTGTCGAACATGGACTCTCGTTCGGTTCAGTTCTCTCCGCTCTCGATTTGGAACCCGAACCTTCGAAATACAACTTCTATATTTTCAGCAATAGCATGAAGGCCGCAGTCCAGCTTCTAACAGATCACAGCATTTACGTTATGTGGAAACTCTACTGCTTCAATGAATCTGTTGTAGAAATCATTGTCTGACTGGAAAGCAAACTGTCTCCGAATTCAACTCGTTGTCCAAGCTCTCAGGCCTCACTCGTGCAACTGCGGAAGATCAATGGAAAAAGATCTTTAAGCGAAATCTTCATCCGACCACCTCTAAAGACGAGTTCGGAGAATATCGATGCTGGGCAAATGACTCCAATTAACGCACTTCCAGAGGATGATAAGGTTACTGTAGACCTTGGGACTGGAAAATCAGAAATTTTCTCCAAAAATTATTTGCTAAGTTAGTTGTAGGTACCTTCTTGTTTCACATGGTGGAATTCCGGCTAATGATATTCGCAGGTTGGATTACAGCAGAGATTGAAGCGGGAAAGTTGATTGATGATGTCGTTGTTACGAGTATAACCCCGAGAGGACGCCCAGTGCACACCCGGCTTGATCACGATGTGTGGACCAAAAGCCTTCTTCGCGGCCCCTGGAAAAATGAATTCCTTCCTATATGAAATAAAGCCATTGAAATAAAGATCACAGCGACTGATAGTTTAAACTCCTTACAAAATGTCTACCCGACCCTGCATAACAATTCGAAGGTCCTTCTTCGTGATATGAAGTTGTTCGGATCAAGTAGTGAATGCCGGCAGCGCCTTCTATCTACTCAGTCCCAGTTCTGCCTTGGGGAGCTATACTTTTCTGCTTCAGCATTAGGAAACATCTTGAAACTCCCTGTGGGAAATTCCACTCTGGATGAGGCCTTGAATGGAAGTTAGAACGTAAAAAGCAAAGGGGCGAGGATGAAGAAATATGCGCTGCTCATGACTTGGCTCCTTGTTTTGAACGCGCGTTTGGCATCGACTGGGCCCGTTAGAAAGGAGAAGAACCTCACCTTGCAGAAAACAGATGAGCAGCCGTTGAAATGGAAAGAGACAAAGATCGGAACGCTGCGTAAAGCGTTTGGCAAAATACTCCCTTTCGAACCTGAGAAATAGATGAACGGAGTGCTGGTTTCCTATGTTTAATCCTATTGTGTAGTTTATATCCTTTTCCACTTCCAGTCTCTCTTTCACACAAAAATAGATTACATCCTGGATATTCTTTCTGTCCTCTTTCCTCACTTGTCCGTTTTGCTCAATTACTTACAGCGAATGTCTGTTTATCATGGCTAAAATTAGGTACCCTATTTTAAAATTCATTTTTTGAAATTTCTTATATTATTTTGTCTTTCGGCTTAAGCTCAAGCCCATTTTCCCATCAATAAACAATTGAGGAAAGATGGCGTAGTCATGAGTCGCTATGCAAAGGATGATATGAACACAATGAGTGTTCGACCAAAGGACCTGACAGGAAGCTTGTGCAACTTTTTGCAACTTTTCGCAATTATACGATAATCAGTACGATGGATTAGTAAAAGTGGCATCTGCATTTGATGTGTTGTGTTGTGTTGGACATATAAAATGTGCTAACCCCGTTAGAGTCGCAAAATATCTGACAACTCTCCTCCTCGTCGTTCCCTTTTCCTAGCACGGTACGGAGGGGATGCATAGCACAAGGATCCGTAGCTTCGTAGCTTCATGATTCCTCTGGTTTTTGTTCCTCCCATTGTGGTGGTAAAAGAACGAGCGGGGGAGAAGTAAAATGAGCACACAAGTCTTTCTTCTTATTTATTTATTTATTTATTTATTGTATTTTGATTGTATTTCATTCATTGAATCATTATTAAACAAACCTAATCAGATGGTCCTTTTGCTTCCCCTTATTGCTTTGACTATTTTTTTTTCTTTCTCCATTTTCATTCACAACTATCTATAGTTATCATTTTCTTTCTATTTTCAGTCTTTCATCATATCGACATCATCGCGGATGTTGCTATCATCGTGAGCCTCGAAATCTCCATCGTCGTCATCATCGTCCTCGCCAATCGGCTCACCGTCCTCTTCCGCTTTTTTCGCGGCGGCTGCGAAATCAATCGTTTTGCCACGGGTGCGTCGGCCATCGCCGATGATGTTCTCGGCGGATATGGGTTCGAGGTTGTCTTGTCCTACATCCTCTTCGTCTTCTACATTTTTTGCCCCACCACCCCGGCAACAAAATGTGTTAGTTGGGCTGAAGAAAGAACAATTGGCTAATGCGGAAAGCAGAGGAGGGAGGGAGAAACGTGGCGAAGGGGGAAAAACACGTGTGTGAACCAAAACGCGCTGCTGGTATGGAAATAGATCTCTATGGGATAGGTTCAATGTCTTCCAGAACGGCGCGGCTAAAATTGGATGCGAAAGTTTCTTACCATCGACGGTCTGTAGATAAAACCAAATGAATTTGTTAGCGGACATTCGTTTCTTCCTTGGAAGGAGGACGCGCGACTTGTCTACGCGCAACTGGAAAAATTACGAGAAGCGACGTCCTCCCCCCACCACCATCCCCAATTCCTTTTTTTTTCTTTGAAAGAAACATACCAAATCAGCCGTGCTCTCATCGGAAGAGCTCTCCTCATCCTCACCCATGCTGATATCATCAGCCAGGTGGTTGTCCACTGCTTTGCCTTTGCCTTTATCGACGCCGCTACCTGCGCTGCTGCCGTAGGTTGCAGCTCCGGTTTCGCCCATGGTGTGATAACAGAGCTATTAAGCAGTAAAGGGGGTAAACAAGCAGTGTGGAGAAGAAGAGAAAAACGAAGAATTCCTTCTGAGAAGAGAGGTAAAGACTTGTTGGAAGGGGTATTGCAGTTGTTTGTGTTTGTTTTGAGAGGAAGACGAGGCATGGACAAGTTGGCGCAGAAGTCGCGATCCTGGTCTAGACCACAGGAGTAGAGAGTCAGATGACCGGAGAAGCCCTAAATATTTATGCATTCAAACTCGAAGTGTATCCATGATTTGTATACACAGATGATTACTCGTTTGTTATCAGGTCTCCCAGCGGTTGATTTTACTATATTCAAAGAGTGAACCTGACATCTAGTTGCCAGCAAGCTTCTTGCTATATGCCGTTCTAAATTGTTCTTCTCAGGACCGTAATTACATACACCAATTGCTATGCTCCTTCATACGCTGCTGGTTAACTACTAACTAGTTATTCAAAATCGCCTGTTACATTACATACTCGTAACTCCATAACTACTAGTAGCAGAAAGATGAACCACCCAATCCATCAGATGGACGGATATCTTTATCCTTCTCCGATTCTCTGCAGATTGCCAAGATGTGCCCTATCCCCGATCCCACTTCTAATAGACAACAAATTTTCAGTATTGGAACCACCGATTTTTAGATGTCTAATATAGATGGTGTGCTGATAACTTCAATGAAAATCGAGTAGGATGGGCAACCAGGACCGCGACAGAGAAATTCCTCGAAGTTTCGGATCAGTGATTGTGTCTAAGTCAGTACTAAGAACAGCTCTCGGAGTAGAAAGGGACTTTTAAGCGAAGAACCAGAGAAGGACTAAATTGTTCCAGCACACTCGCGAGAATACGCTCACTGATTGAGAACTGTCAGTGAGTCCGTTGTAAAAGGTCAGGAATGCATGTAAACAAAGTGGAGCCAGATCGAGGAAGAAATGATGAGTTTGAAGACAAACGGTTTCCTCTGAATAGTAATGGTTTACCACTTTCCCCCAGAGTCATAAACCATCTCTCTTTAGGGAAAGAAGATGCCCCAATTGTCGTGTTGAAATATCCAGACTGTTCTGTTGGCGCCAATTGCTCGAATCATATGCGACTTTCCCAACACTTGTGAGTTGTTTTTCAATAGGAAAAGCCACCCATGCGTGATCGAGAAGATGTGTTCGTCCATGTTTAGATGTCTTTCAAATTCTTTTATGCATTGAGACCAAGTTTTGAATTTGCTGATAGTCAGTCTCTAGGCATGGTAGGCTCGTCTCCAATGCCAGAGATCTCTTTTGAAGTCAACGGCATTATAGTTAGCGACCAAGAGTTGCCTTTTCCCGTTAGAGCAAGCACTCCTGGTCGTCCAAATGGTATTAGGAGCGATCATGGCACGGTTGACTCAGATGAACCAACCTGAACTGTGCCTGGGAGAAACAGCGGAAAGGAGAGTAGTGTTCTCTATGGCAGTAGCTGAGTGCTGAATATTATGCTGGTAGATAACATAACATACACACTTCAGCTTCCAAGGTGACTTGAAACCATAGAGCAACTTGAAGGTTTGCTGAACTAGTCATGGTTGTACTAGTACTCTGTGTAGAAAAACTTGTGTTGATGGACCTCTTACCGCCAATTGAGAGAGCTGGTATCAAAAAAACTGTTCTGGGATGTGGTAGTCACGTGAAAACGCAAAAACTCCGTCACCTTCGTCATTACAGCCACCAACCAGGCTCTGATCGCAACAATTTCTTCTGTTCCCATTCTTGGGCCCCAATGTGTTCCTCCCGGTGGCTTTGTCTGCCGCACTTTTGCTCACTAAGTGCAGTTGATGCTTCCGGTTGCTGCCAGGCTCCAAAGGGTCTTTTCTGGCGAAACCGTCCAAGGTTCTTCGCAGGCAAGGGAAGCAGCCAGCCCACTTCGTGATTACGTCATAACTAATTACCTCATTAAAGCCACCCACGGACTGGAATATTCCAGTTGCCGTAGAAACAACCCAATTGTGTTAGAGATTTGCAGCTGCTTGGCCGAGGGACAAACTGTCGGTGTGGTTGTAGTTTGTAATCGATTGTAATTAATTGCTGGAAATTGTTCTGTTGTTGTGTTGTTGTGTTGTGTTCACGTCGTCGTCGTGGGGGATGGATGGCGGTGGAATGCGGTGGACGCCCATCGAAGCCGCTGAACTTGCTAGAAGCTTCTGGCGCCGGAATCCACCGCCCGCATATAAACAAATTTTGGCCCGCACAACCAAAACATCCCACCTTCTTCTTGTTTTTTCATTTTCTTCCCCATTTTTTAATCCTCACCACTGCCTCTTTTCTTCATCTTCTTCATCTTCTTCATCTTCTCCATCATCTTCGTCTTCCTCTTCCTCTTCTCTCCCATTCCTCCCATCATCGCTATCCTCTCTAGTTCTCTTCTTCCGCCTATACACCTGCAACTTACTTACTACTGTATACACACTCCTAAAGTGCTGGCGATTTATCCCACTTTCTGACATCTAATTTCTTCATCATGGCTCCCGCTGTTGGTATGTCTATGAACCCGCCCGTGTTTGCTCATTTTCCATCTTCGTTCCATCTTCGTTCCATCTTCGTCTTGCTTGCTGACTGGCCTCCTACGTTGGCTTGCAACAGGTATCGATCTGGGTACCACCTACTCCTGCGTGGGTATCTTCCGTGATGACCGTATCGAAATCATTGCCAACGACCAGGGTAACCGAACCACACCCTCGTTCGTTGCTTTCACAGACACAGAGCGCCTCATCGGTGATGCCGCGAAGAACCAGGTCGCCATGAACCCCGCCAACACAGTCTTCGACGCAAAGCGACTCATTGGTCGTAAGTTCGCCGACCCTGAGGTCCAGGCTGACATGAAACACTTCCCCTTCAAGATCACCGACAAGGGCGGTAAGCCTGTCATTCAAGTCGAGTTCAAGGGTGAGACCAAGGAGTTCACTCCTGAGGAGATCTCCTCCATGGTCCTCACCAAGATGAGAGAGACTGCGGAGGCGTATCTTGGCGGCACTGTCAACAATGCCGTCGTCACCGTCCCCGCCTACTTCAACGACTCCCAGCGTCAAGCTACCAAGGATGCTGGTCTTATTGCCGGCCTCAATGTCCTCCGTATCATTAACGAGCCCACTGCGGCTGCTATTGCTTACGGTCTCGACAAGAAAGCTGATGGTGAACGCAATGTTCTGATCTTCGACTTGGGCGGTGGTACTTTCGATGTGTCTCTCCTCACCATCGAAGAGGGTATCTTCGAGGTCAAGTCCACTGCTGGTGACACCCACTTGGGTGGTGAGGACTTTGATAACCGCCTCGTTAACCACTTTGTCTCGGAGTTCAAGAGAAAATTCAAAAAGGGTTAGTGAAATATCCCCAGATTTTTGTTTTTTTTTTTAAATTTTTTTTTTTTTTTTGGCCCGTCCTATCGTTACAAACCTACAAGCCTACAATCTCCCCCTCCCCCTCGCGCCCATTTTTCTCTTCTTACCTTTACTAACCACCCTCCAGATCTCTCCGCCAACGCACGTGCACTCCGCCGTCTCCGCACTGCTTGCGAACGTGCCAAGCGTACCCTCTCCTCTGCTGCTCAGACTTCCATTGAAATTGACTCCCTATATGAGGGTATCGATTTCTACACCTCTATCACCCGTGCTCGTTTCGAGGAGCTTTGCCAGGATCTCTTCCGTTCCACCATGGAACCCGTCGAGCGTGTCCTCCGCGATGCCAAGATCGACAAATCCTCCGTCCACGAAATCGTTCTCGTCGGTGGCTCTACCCGTATCCCCAGAATCCAGAAGCTCGTCTCAGATTTCTTCAATGGAAAGGAGCCCAACAAGTCCATTAACCCTGACGAAGCTGTTGCCTACGGTGCTGCCGTCCAGGCTGCTATCCTGTCTGGTGACACGTCTTCCAAGTCTACCAACGAAATCCTCCTCTTGGACGTTGCCCCATTGTCTCTCGGTATCGAAACCGCAGGCGGTGTCATGACTCCTCTCATCAAGAGGAACACCACCATCCCGACCAAGAAGTCCGAGACCTTCTCCACCTTCTCCGACAACCAACCTGGAGTCCTCATCCAGGTCTTCGAGGGTGAGCGTGCGCGTACCAAGGACAACAACCTCCTCGGAAAGTTCGAGCTCACCGGCATCCCGCCCGCGCCCCGCGGTGTTCCCCAGATCGAGGTTACTTTCGACGTTGACGCCAACGGTATCATGAACGTTTCTGCCCTCGAGAAGGGTACCGGCAAGACCAACAAGATCGTCATCACCAACGACAAGGGCCGTCTCTCCAAGGAGGAGATCGAGCGCATGTTGGCTGAAGCCGAGAAATACAAGGCTGAAGATGAAGCCGAGGCTTCCCGCATCAGCGCCAAGAACGGCCTCGAGTCCTACGCGTACTCTCTCCGCAACACGCTCAGCGACTCCAAGGTCGACGAGAAGCTCGAGGCTGGCGACAAGGAGAAGCTCAAGTCTGAGATCGACAAGACTGTCCAATGGCTAGATGAGAACCAGACTGCCACTAAGGAGGAGTATGAGTCTCAACAGAAGGAACTTGAAGCGTACGTATAACCTGAGAGTTTTTTTTTTTTTTCTCTCTTTCTCAATCCTTTCTGCCGCCCCCTTTGGAGCAAAGCAACGGTACAACTAACTGGGTGACCCAATTGATATATATAGTGTTGCCAACCCGATCATGATGAAATTCTACGGTGCCGGCGGCGAGGGTGCCCCAGGCGGATTCCCCGGTGCTGGTGGGCCCGGCGGCTTCCCCGGTGGACCTGGAGCTGGACATGCTAGTGGTGGCGGCGACGACGGCCCCACCGTCGAGGAGGTCGACTAAAATTTCCAATGTTGTCTCTCCCTTGGTAATTAATTGTCTGTTAGGAAGATTCGTCCTTTTTCCTTTTCTTCCTCTTCTTCCTGTGCGTTTCAACGAGTCATGTTTTTCATAGTGGTCTCTTTTTTTTTTAACGGGGTTTCTTCTTACTTTTTCAAATGTGGCTTTCCTCTTCTGCTTCCTAATTAATGTCCACCACGGTTTCTGGTTTTCCTCTAGTTTCTTTACACAAAAAATTCCAATTCTAGCTATTTTGTTTATTTTATCGTGCGCTGTTTACTATGCTTTTGGTTCGTCTCAGTTGTTGTTCTTCTTCTTCTTCCCTCTGTCAACAGCTGGAAAACAAAACATGAAGCAGAAAAGGAAGAAAAGAAAATAAAGAAAAATATATAATTTACTCCGTAAATCAGCATCCGCAATGAAATTTCATATAACTATGTAAAAACCAAGAACGATTACAACCGCAACCCATTTGCTCGAGAGATTGTAGAAAACCCTATACCTATACCTATATATGTATGTATGTATGTTTGCTGTAACCAGTGCCATACCCGTGTCACAGCGTAAAAGTCGGGTAAAGTCGGGGCAAGTCGGGGCGCGATAGGGACTCACTCACCGATGATAAGAATAGAATGCTAACTAACAAACAAAAGAAACGACAAACAGACAAACAGACAAACAGACAGACAGACAGACAGAGAGACAGAACTTCCTCTTTCGCGCGATGGGATATTATGAGTATGGCTGACTGACTGCTAATTGTTGGCATTTTGCTGTCCTATCTATTTGTCATCAATCAATCGTCCCCATATTTTCCCCCTTTGTGGCATCTGCATGTTCCGTCTCCCCCCTCTTCCCGATGCGTCGTACGATTGAATCTATCTCTCTATAAGTGGTTCTCCACTCTCCAACTGTCCAATGGCCAGGTTCCGTTTTATATTCGCGGGCTGTGAGCCGCCGTTATCGGATAATAAATACTAGAGAGTAGTTAATAATAATAATAACGACAATAATAATAATAATAGTTTCCCCCCCCCCGTGTAACTACGGCAAGCCACCTGCAACGAAGAGGGAGCTGTTCTCCCCCCCTCCCAAGATAAGGCTCCCCCCCTCCCTGGGGCAATTTCCTCCCTCCCTCCTGCTTCCTCCTCCTCCCCCTACTGGTTCCACGGGTCCGAGTGGGTCCGTTGACGTTTCCGGGCCCAAGCTCCGGGGGCTGGCCCGCGCCAACGCCGGCTGCTGATTGGTCGGCGGGGTGTCCTTATCTCTGCGCCAAACAAACTTTGGGGGGGGGGGAAAGGGGGAACAGGCCGGAAAAGCTTCACTGGCATCTGATATTTGGGGCAATGGAGGGGGAATAGGGTTAGGAGGGGGGAATGGTGAATGAAGGGGGAGGGAATGGTGGTATGGTACTGTACATACTATACTGTACACACCGTACATCCAGGACAGTGTACCGGAACAGCGTCCACTGTATCTATACATACATCCTCTGTTGCCACCGCAGAGGCTTATCGGAATCTTCCTCGGCTGACTGATCGTCTTCGTCTGTCTTCCTCTGGCCAACATTCATCCCTCATCCTTCACTCCTCAATCCTCCCATTCCTCCCCTTCCTCTGCCATTTCTCTCTTCCTCCCCCATCTCCTCCCTCCGCCAGCTGGCCACATCCCCATTTCCAATCCCCAATTGCCATCCCCAATTCCCAATTCCCACTTCCCAATTCCCACTTCCCACTTCTACATTCTACACCTCTCCTGCATTGCGGTCGGCTGCTGCGGTCTCTCCATCTCTCCCCACTCCGGCGGGAAAGCATGGGTCTCCTGGTACAAGGCCATGGTCAATGTCAATCCATCGTCGACGAGGAACACCCGCTCGAGTATTCGGAATACTGCGCGGACAAGGGCTATGGCTGGGCTGGGGCCTTGCCGGCACCGCAGGGCCTCTATGACCCCGAGCGGGAGAAGGATGCCTGCGGTGTCGGCTTTGCAGCGTGAGTTTTGATTGTTCGCTTCTCTGGGAGGAGGAGGAGGAGGAGGAGGAGGAGGAAGAGGAGGAGGAAGAGGATTACTATGACGGGGATTGTTTGTGCCACAGCTAACCAACTTTCAATCCAAAAAAAGGCATATCAAGGGGAAGGCGAGCCATAAGATAGTCAGCGATGGTAAGTAGGAAGAGAGAGAGAGAGAGAGCGAGAGACTCCCTCCCCCGCTATGTTGCTCCAATCAATCGATTGATGCCTCTTCTAACCCTTTTCCCCCCGGCAGCCCGGAGTTTGCTCTGCAACATGACCCATCGTGGTGCCGTAGGTTCCGATGCCAGGGACGGTGATGGCGCTGGCGTGATGACTAGCATCCCCCACAGGTTCTTCGTGAAGCACTTCGCTCGTGATGCCGGCGTCGAGCTGCCGCCCATGGGCCAGTATGCCACGGGAAACCTGTTCTTCAAGCCGGACTCGGAGACCCTGAAGGAATCCCTCGCTACCTTTGACGAACTGGCCAGGGAGCTCGGCCTGCGCGTGCTGGGCTGGCGGGATGTCCCCCACGACTCTACCCTGCTGGGCCCCGCCGCCCTGTCCCGCGAGCCCGTCATCATGCAGCCCTTTGTTGTGCTTCGCTCGGCCTATGGCGATGGGCCCACCCCCCTGACGACGACGGACCCGGACCAGCACCCGGCGCAGTTCGATGAGCTCGCCTTCGAACGCCAGCTCTATTTCCTCCGAAAGCGCGCGACCCACGTCCTAGGCCTTGCGAACTGGTTCTACGTCTGCTCCCTCAGTAACCGCAACATCGTCTACAAGGGCCAGCTGGCCCCCGTCCAAGTTTACGAATACTACCACGACCTGGTCTCCGTTGACTACGAGGCCCATTTCGCCCTGGTCCACTCGAGATTCTCGACAAACACCTTCCCGTCCTGGGACCGTGCTCAACCGCTCCGCTGGGCGGCTCACAATGGCGAGATCAACACTCTGCGCGGCAACAAGAACTGGATGAGAGCCAGGGAAGGGGTCTTGCGATCCGAAATCTTCGGCGATGACCTGGACTACCTCTACCCGATCGTTGAGGACGGCGGTTCCGACTCCGCTGCCTTCGACAATGTGCTCGAGCTGCTCACCATGAACAGGGTTCTGTCCCTGCCGGAAGCGGTGATGCTGATGGTCCCGGAAGCGTGGCAGGATAATCCCGCCATGGACCCCGCAAAGGCTGCTTTCTACGAATGGGCCGCCTGCCAGATGGAGCCTTGGGATGGACCCGCGCTCTTCACCTTCTCCGACGGACGGTACTGTGGCGCGAACTTGGATCGCAATGGTCTTCGCCCCTGCCGATACTACATCACAGACGACGATCGCATCATCTGCGCGTCGGAGGTCGGCACGATCCCATTCGATCCCGAGCGTATCGTTGAGAAGGGCCGTCTGCAGCCCGGCAAAATGCTGCTCGTTGACACAGTGGCTGGAAGGATCATCGACGACACCGAGTTGAAAACCACCGTTGCCAGCCGCCATGATTTCAGATCCTGGGTTGAGAGAGAGCTGCTTCGCCTCCCCGAAATTCTAAAGGGCCTGCTCGAGAAAAACATTGACCTAACCTATACCCTGGACGATTCTACGGTCCAGGGCGATGTTCGACTCAAAGCATTTGGCTATTCCTACGAGCAAGTCAGTCTCATTCTGGGACCAATGGCCGCGGATTCCAAGGAGGCGCTTGGATCCATGGGCAACGATGCGCCCCTTGCGTGTCTCGCTCAGCAGCCACGGCTTCTGTATGAGTATTTCCGCCAGCTTTTCGCACAGGTCACCAACCCGCCCATCGATCCCATTCGGGAGGCCATCGTCATGTCCCTAGAATGCTACGTGGGTCCCCAGGGGAACCTCCTGGAGATGGATTCCTCGCAGTGCCATCGTCTCCTTCTCACCTCGCCCATTTTGTCACTGGACGAGTTCAGCACGATCAAAAATATGGCGGCGGTCCATGTCGACTGGTCCGTCAAAACTATCGATATCACTTTCGAGAAAGCGAAGGGGGTTCAGGGCTACCTCGACGCTCTAGACGAGATCTGCAACGCGGCAACTGAGGGTGTCCAGAACGGCGATAAAGTCTTTATCCTTTCCGACAGGGCCACCTCTGCCGATCGAGTCCCCGTTTCGTCCCTGCTTGCCACGGGCCTTGTCCACCACCATCTCGTTCGAAACAAGTGGAGGTCGCTGGTTGCTTTGATCGTCGAGACTGCTGAAGCGCGAGAGGTGCACCACATGTGCGTTCTTCTTGGGTATGGCGCCGATGGAATCTGCCCGTACCTGGCTCTGGAATGCATTCTGAAAATGAACCGTGAGAATTTGATCCGCAAAGCGCTCTCGGACGAGAAGATCATCGAAAACTACAAGTCGTCGGTGGACGGCGGCATCCTCAAAGTCATGAGCAAAATGGGCATCTCGACTCTTCAAAGCTACAAGGGTGCCCAGATCTTCGAAGCGCTAGGGATAGATGATAGCGTTATTGACCTGTGCTTTGCGGGCACTGCGAGTAGGATAAAAGGCATGACTTTCGAGCAGATCGCGCAGGATGCGTTTGCCTTCCACGAGAAGGGCTTCCCGTCGCGAATTATCAGCGAGATCCCTGGGCTGTCGGAATCAGGCGAATATCATTGGCGCGATGGCGGTGAACACCATATCAACGACCCTGTCAGCATCGCCAACATCCAGGATGCCGTGCGCACCAAGAATGACAGGTCGTATGAGGCATATGCTCGCTCCGAACATGAACAGATCAGGAACTGCACCTTGCGCGGGTTGCTCGATTTTAATTTCGAACACCGCACTGCGGTGCCGATTGACCAAGTCGAGCCGTGGACTGAGATCGTCCGCCGCTTTGTCACTGGCGCCATGTCGTATGGATCCATTTCCATGGAGTCCCACTCCACTCTTGCCATCGCAATGAATAGACTCGGCGGCAAGTCCAATACGGGAGAAGGGGGTGAGAACGCGGAGCGCAGCAAGGTTCTGGAGAACGGCGACACCATGAGATCCGCCATCAAGCAGATTGCCTCTGGCCGATTCGGCGTTACGTCCCACTACCTTGCTGACGCCGATGAGCTCCAAATCAAAATGGCCCAGGGCGCCAAACCCGGCGAGGGCGGAGAGCTTCCTGGCCACAAAGTGTCCGCTGAGATCGGCAAGACCCGCCACTCGACCCCGGGCGTAGGCCTCATTTCACCCCCACCACACCACGACATCTACTCGATCGAAGATCTGAAACAGCTCATCTACGACCTGAAGTGCTCGAATCCCCGTTCGCGCGTCTCTGTCAAACTCGTCTCCGAGGTTGGCGTCGGTATTGTTGCCTCGGGCGTTGCAAAGGCCAAGGCGGATCATATCTTGATCTCGGGCCATGACGGAGGCACCGGCGCGTCGCGGTGGACGGGAATTAAGTACGCTGGGCTTCCGTGGGAACTCGGCCTGGCAGAGACTCACCAGACGCTGGTCCTCAACGATCTTCGCGGCCGTGTCATCGTCCAGACTGATGGTCAACTGCGGACGGGGCGGGATGTAGCGATGGCGTGTTTACTGGGAGCAGAGGAATGGGGCTTTGCGACGACTCCTCTCATTGCCATGGGCTGTGTTATGATGCGCAAGTGCCACTTAAAGTAAGGTTTTCACTTTTTCTTCTATTTTTTATAGGATGGTTTAGAGGGATTGCTCCTCTGGGACACTTTTCGAAAAGAGTCTTTTGATAGATATACATTCATGACTAACTTTATGTTGTCTCCGCGTAGTACATGTCCGGTTGGCATTGCAACCCAGGACCCTTTGCTCCGACAAAAGTTCTCAGGGACCCCTGAACACGTTATCAATTTCTTCTACTACATCGCCAACGAACTACGAGCGATAATGGCTAAATTGGGTATCCGCACCATCAACGAGATGGTAGGTCGTGTCATCATGACGTAACTTTTGGATGACCTCCCTTCGTCCAAAATGGAAAATATCGATCTCTCTCTCATTCTCACGCCGGCCCACTCGCTGCGCCCTGGCGTAGCGACGTACAATGTCCGTAAACAAGACCATCGCCTCCACGTCCGTTTGGACAACAAGCTCATTGCCGAATCTGAACTGGCGCTGGAAAAGGGCCTGCCGTGCCGCATCGAGTGTGACGTTGTGAACACCGATCGCGCCTTGGGGGCTACGCTTTCATACCAGGTGAGTCGTCGCTACGGAGAGGCTGGTCTTCCGCAAGACACTATCCACGCAAATATCAAGGGCTCCGCTGGTCAGTCCTTCGGCGCGTTCCTCGCGCCTGGCGTAACCCTCGAGCTTGAGGGTGATGCCAATGATTATGTCGGTAAAGGATTGTCCGGCGGTCGTTTGATCGTCTACCCTCCTCGCAGCGCCGTCTTTAAATCCGAGGAGAACATCCTCATAGGAAACGTCTGCCTGTACGGCGCCACACGAGGTCACTGTTACTTCCGGGGTGTAGCTGCTGAGCGATTTGCTGTGCGTAACTCGGGGGCTACGGCGGTCGTTGAAGGCGTCGGCGATCACGGTTGCGAGTACATGACGGGAGGCCGCGTTCTGATTCTCGGACCGACTGGCCGGAATTTCGCCGCTGGAATGTCTGGCGGCATCGCCTATGTCCTCGACGTGAATCAGGACTTCCACTCGAAAATTAATATGGAAATGGTTGAGGTTTCTGGAGTGGAAGACCCAGCGGAGATTGCCTTCTTGCGCGGGCTCATCGAGGACCACCACCACTACACCGGCTCCGAGCTTGCAGCCCGTATCCTTCTCGATTTCACTCGAGCACTGGGCCATTTCGTCAAGGTCCTGCCGACGGATTACAAGAGGGTACTTGAGGAGGAGGCTAAGAAAGCTGCTGCTGCGAAACAGGCCAAATTCACTCTTCCGTACTTATCCAGAAATCCCTCAGGGGAGGCCGTGGATAATCCTCATGTGCATCGCGAGGAATCCAAGAAAAGCAGCAGCAGTGACCTTCTGGATATTGAGGACAGCGTTGGCGACGCCAAGACGGAGAAAAAGCGCACTTCCTTGATCCTCGACAAGACGAAAGGTTTCATGAAGTACCACCGCCACAGCGAGAAATACCGGAACCCAAGGACTCGAACTCGCGACTGGGCCGAGCTGAGCACGCGTCTGACGGACGATGAATTGAAGTACCAGTCGGCCCGTTGCATGGACTGCGGCGTTCCCTTCTGCCAATCCGACACCGGATGCCCTATCTCCAACATTATTCCCAAGTGGAATGAGCTTGTCTTCCGGAACCAGTGGCGGGATGCGCTTAATCGATTGCTCATGACGAACAACTTTCCCGAGTTCACGGGCCGCGTTTGCCCGGCTCCTTGTGAAGGCGCTTGCGTCCTTGGAATAATCGAAGACCCTGTCGGCATCAAGAGTATCGAATGTGCGATCATTGACCGCGGCTTCGAAATGGGTTGGATGGTCCCCACTCCCCCGGCAAGTCGCACTGGCAAGACCGTTGCGATTATCGGCTCCGGCCCGGCTGGCCTTGCCGCTGCGGATCAGCTGAACCGTGCCGGACACCGCGTGACGGTGTATGAACGTGCCGATCGCATTGGCGGCCTGCTGATGTATGGAATTCCGAACATGAAACTGGACAAAACGATCGTTCAGCGGCGGGTGGATTTCATGGCGGCAGAGGGTGTCAAGTTCGTGACCAGCACCGCCGTCGGGCCCGAGGGAGATATCTCTCTGGCCCAGCTACGCAAGGAAAACAACGCGGTCATACTCGCCACGGGAGCGACGGTGGCGAGAGACTTGAAGATCCCCGGCCGCGAACTCGACGGCATCCATTTCGCCATGCAGTTCCTCCATCGCAACACCAAATCCCTGCTTGACTCGGGGTTGTCTGACGGCGAATACATCTCCGCCAGGGACAAGCACGTCATCGTCATCGGCGGCGGCGACACGGGGAACGACTGCATCGGCACCTCGGTCCGCCACGGCGCCAAATCCGTGACCAACTTCGAACTGCTCCCGCAGCCGCCCCCAGAACGTGCCCGCGATAACCCCTGGCCGCAGTGGCCACGCGTCTACCGCGTCGATTACGGACACACGGAGGTGAAGACCCACATGGGCAAGGACCCGCGCGAGTATTGCATAATGTCGAAGGAATTCGTCGGCGAGAACGGCGTCGTGAAGGGTATCAACGTCTGCCGTGTCGAGTGGACCAAGAGTGCGGCGGGCGGCTGGGACATGAAGACGATCGAGGGCAGCGAGCAGTTCTTCCCCGCCGACCTTGTCCTGCTCTCCATGGGTTTCCTGGGCCCCGAGGATAGGCTGCTCGGGGAGGAAATTGAGAAGGATGCTCGGAAGAACATCAAGACGCCCCCCGGCCACTATTCGACGAACGTCCCCGGTGTCTTCGCTGCTGGCGACTGTAGACGTGGACAGTCTCTGATCGTTTGGTAGGCGTGACGTCACCCCCTTTCGTTTAGTTATTAGGAGAATGTTTTTTTTTTTTTTGCTGACATACTTTATTCCTTTCAGGGGAATCAACGAAGGCCGCCAGGCTGCTCGCGAAGTCGACGCGTATCTGATGGGCACCAGTTCTCTGCTTCCCGTCACTGGAGGAATTGTCCGCCGGCCCGCAATCGACTCTGTGCCCGCTGCCGGTCAAGCGCAAACCGTCGCCGCGTAGGAGCTGGAATAGGAATGAAATGGTATCTTAGCGCTGTCTAAGGGGGCCCTGCCGCATGTATATATATATATATATATACTCGGACACGGGCCATTCATCGGCTGATGGCGGTGCGAGCTGGACATATCACGTCAAACAAAGCTCATGAGGCAAACTGGGGCCCCTCGCAGACACACAATATTGATAACTTTTGTGTCGGCCTCTTGAGTCTTCCCCCGCCGGGGGTGTCCTCCCATGGGTATCGTTCACACAGGATTTTGGAATGGGCCATTTCCTCATTTCCAGAAAAATCACAGACAGTTTGGAACGAGTTGATGAGATGGAAACGGGTATTTTTTTTTTTTTTTTGGAGAAACTTCTCTCGCAAACTGCCGTGATGCTATTTATTTATTTATTTATTTTATTTGCTCGTGCCGTTTCGTTCAGAATACCCGCTACCGGAAACGTTTCCTATTTTGTTTTCTCTTTTGGGGTGTGTGGGGGGGGGGGGCGGCGGCATGGGACGGTCAAGTTCTCATTTTGGTTATTTACTGCTTTTTGGAGGGATTTTCTTTTCTTTTCTTTTTTTCTTTTTCTTTTTCTTCTTTTTTTTGTATTGCATATTCTCATCACGGCTGGCTGCTCGGGTTTTTTTTATTTAACATGGTCGGCACACTGTTAGCTAAAAATTTTAAAATCTCTAGTTAAATCTAACCACATCTTCTATAAGTTAGTTAGTTCAACTCTCTGTCATTAGTTTTCATTCTGTCTGTGCCTCTCCATTTCCTTGGCCATGTACATATTGTATCTCCTTTCCTTTCCTTTCCTTCTTCCTCGCCCGGAACACATTTGTCACACATTGTCAAGGGGGTTTCTTCTAAGGGGTTGGGGTTATCTTCAAAAATCCAAAAACTATTATTATTATGGGTGACTTACAAGAGGAGAAGAGCAATCAATCCATGTCATGTACACCTTCATTGGCAAGGAGAAAGTGAAGAGATTTTTTTCCCTTTTTCCTTTCTTTTCTTTTCTTTTTTTTTTCCGTTCAAACCCAGAGAACATGCAGGACAGACAGCAGTCAGCGCGGTTGTCTCGCTGAGACCGTGGTTGGGAACGCGGAAAGCCACCGATTCCTCTCCCTACCCTGCCTCTTTCCCCGTCTTAGGGAGATCCCATGTGTGGAGTTAAGAAGATCTTCTTTGTATTTTTTTTTTCCTGCTACATTATGTACTGTACAGTATATCCATTATTCATACCATTGAAAATGATATGAATTCAAGGGGGGGCGGTTGTAGATGAGAACCTCAAGCCAAAATATCGTTACATAGTCTATCGCCAAACCCTAAAAGCACAACAAAGCTTCAAATAAATCAAACCCATACCGACCAAAAATTCAACAGCGGTCTGAGACCTGAGACCTTCAAGCACACCAGGCGCCCCCTCTTCACCGTTCGCCTTCCCCCGCCTGCGCCGCAGCTTTCATCTTCGTCATTTCCCTTTCCAGCGCCTTCAAATCCCCCTGAAACGCACCCTTTACCGGCTCCGTCCGCACGTCCCACACATCCTCACTGCTCGGCCCGGTCTTGTACTTGACAGCCTTCCTGCGGTACCGGTCGGCGACCATCCTCGCCTTCTCCTCCGCGGAGTAGGAGCGGGTGCGCATGCAGAACCAGAAATCGGACCAGTGCTCGCTGCATGAGCGCAGCTCGCCGTAGCGGTACACGTTCACCCATTGGCCGCCGAGCGACTGGCAAAAGAAGGCGTAGTCGAAGGCCGATCGGCACGACATGCTGGTTGGGTACAGGGTTTCGGGGGAGATGTTGGCGGGGGTTTCGGTAGGATCGGTGAGATCGGTACTACGGGTGGGAGAAGGTGGGGTGGTGGTGGATTCGGTGGTTGTGGGTTTGCTGTTGGGCGAGAGTGGTGTCGATGATGGCGGCTGTGGTGGGCGCGAGGATTGGGAAGTGTCATCATTCCCATCTCGAAGACTCTTTATAAAGGTTGCCAGCTCTAAGTCGGCGAGTTCATCGCGGCTCATGACGGGATTGGGATGTGCTGGTGGAGCGGGCTCACGGCTGTCCGTGTGGTTGGGCGGAGACTGTGAAGGTGTCGAGCGGGGAGGTTCAGGTTGTGAGAGCGATTCCCCCTGGCTGGGAGTGGAGTTCCACCACCAACCCATCGTGTGTTCCAGATGCGATTGACGACAGGGCTATGGGGAAGGGAGGGAATGGGTTTGAATATGAGTCGCGGAGGGTGTAGAAAAATTGTAATTCGACTGATCAATTGCTTGACAGGAACACTTGTCCCATTGGCCCAATGCGCAGGGTATGCTGTGTTATATGCGGATCCTATCACGGAATCCAATATCAGCCATCCCTGTGGGCTAGACCCAAGAGCTCTCTATTGACATGTAGCACCTCGCGATAAAACAGAACCTGATATTGCGGCTCAAAAAAGGTTTGGGTCGATGTAGATGTTAGGCATTACTACGGCTACCCCAGGCACGTGCCACCTAACATATTGTGTTGCTCTCGCTTAGATAGTTAACAATCACACAACCAACATTATCCTCCTACAGTAGAGAATATCACATGATTGATTGGCCTAAGATGATGACTAAGATGTCCACTTCCCAATTACGTCATAGCAGAGATGTCCCTGATTGAAAAAGCAAGAAGCTAACAACAGCTACTGAACATGACCACGATGGGTCTTCAGCATTCGGTAAGGGCCTGCTTTCTTTCAATATGATATATATGCTGGGGAAGGCGTGTCTAAAGACACCTCGCTACCTTCCCGCCAATATTGCTTGGGGAGTATCTCGTCGTATCGTCGCCCCTAGGCAACTCCATACCAGTTTAAGCCGTGCCACCATCCAGTCCCGAGGAGACGAATCAGGCCATATACAAGCTGGTACAAATGAAGCTATAGCCTATATTGACAGTATGCATACTTCTGTCATCACTATGAACTATCTTTGTCAGAACTGATCTGTCAGCATCTCAGGCTTATTTCCGCTCAGATTGAAGTGGCTACGTGAAATTCCATTCACCACTCCAACGACCGGCTCTATTTCTACGGACCTCAAGAAGCGGATAGATAGACCGGATCTTGCAGCTGCAGAACCCTTGTCCGTAGTGCAGCGAGCGTTACCGCCCGAACTACGCGGTGAAATAACCGAAGTTATTCCTCGCTATGACGAGGGCGGTGCCTTTGTCAAGTTCACCCACGGGCCTGGGGTTGACGCTACAGAGCTGGCATACCAACTAAAAGATTATCTGATGAAGAACCCTGTCAGGCCATGGTTTAACCCTTTTTACGCTACCCGTATCGCTTTGGTGCGAGGTCGACCGTGGATAGAAGATCTTTATCGCATTCCTAGCAGAAAACTCAAAGTTGAATTTCTCCCGACATTTCCTGAAGCAGCTGCAGCAGAATTAACCCAGGAAACATTGTATTCGTTGGCCAGGCGCTATGGGAAGTTGACGGACATTGTGGCGCAATCATCGGATTCCAAAGTTGTGCCGCGGTATGCGTTCATTGAATTCAACAGACTTCGGAGTGCAATAACAGCTAAAAATTGCCTACACGGGTTCAAGGTTTCCGAGGGTGAAGGGGGAGGGAAGTCGGGGACCCTGCTCAAAATCACCTATGAACAGAAAACGAAAGGGAATTGGTTACGGGATTGGTTATTCAACCACCCAAGAATCGTAATTCCCATTCTAGCGGCACTTCTCGCAACTCTTACGGTCATCATATTCGATCCAATCCGCACTTTCTCCATTAAAATTAGAATCAAGCCGCCTCTTCACCTGAAAGATAACATTGTTTGGCAATGGGTGCAACGGCAAGCTAGTAAAGCGAACGAAATGATTTTGTTCGGGCACCATCGTTCGGAGGCTGGAGGGCTAAGAGCGGTATGGGAAGACCGGAAAGGCGATATTCAAGTTATCCAAAGTTGGCTGCTCGAAGTTGCCAGTACTTTAATCATAATCCAAGGACCGCGTGGTTCTTGCAAGAAGGAGCTCATTCTGGATGAAGTGTTGCAGGATCGTGAACCCAAATTAGTTATAGATTGCAAACCCATCCAAGATGCCAATGGCGACAGCGCCACAATCAATGCTGCCGCTGCTGAGGTTGGCTATCGACCTGTGTTTTCCTGGATGAACAGCGTCAGCAGCGTGATAGATCTGGCGATCCAAGGAACTACAGGTGCAAAGGCCGGTTTCTCAGAAACGCTAGATGCCCAGCTCGGAAAGATATTGCAGAATACTGCGAATGCATTGAAAAAAGTGGCTCTTGAGGGGAGAGGAAAAGATGACAAAGATGCCAATCTCAGCGATGAAGAGTACCTGGAAGCTCACCCAGAAAGGCGCCCAGTTGTGATAATCGACAATTTCTTGCATAAAAACAACGAAAATCCGATGATTTATGACAAACTAGCTGAATGGGCAGCAGCGGTGACCACTTCTAACATTGCTCGTGTAATATTTTTGACGGAGGATGTTTCAGCCTCGAAGTCTTTGAGCAGGGCTCTTCCGAGCACAGTTTTCCACCAGATGTCATTACAGGACTGCTCATCGGAAGTGGCCAAGCGCTTCGTCCTTGAGCATATTCGAGCTGAGGGTGAGGGAAACCAGCGGAACGACACTCCTGAGAGTCTGCAACATATGGAAGGGCTTGATGATGCCATCCAAGCTCTGGGCGGACGCCTGACCGATCTCGAGTTCCTAGCTCGAATGATCAAAACTGGATCAACGCCAAAGGGTTAGTATCTTCTTCTGATATTACGTTCACTTGCTAATCCATAAACATAGATGCCGTCCAACGAATAATCAATGATGCTTCTGCTGAGATTTTAAAATCGTTTATCCTCGATCTCCCCGCCACCAAGAACTCGCCATGGTCGGCAGAACAGGCTTGGTATCTCATTTCGAAATTTGGAAAGAGCGATTCAGAAACGCTGCGATACAATGCCATTTTGCTCCATCCCCTATTCAAAAGCGGTGGCGAGGCCGTGGTCCAGGCCCTCCAGCATGCAGAGCTTATATCTGTTTGCACTATTGACGGCTCTCCGTCATCAATCAAACCGGGGAGACCAGTATACCGTGCAGCCTTTAAACAACTTACCGACAATAGGGCCTTGAGAAGTCGGTTCGAAATGGCGATATTGGCCCGGTTAATTGCGATCGAGAATCAAAATATCCAAAATCTAGAAAAAGAATTACAGGTACTTGGGTCCTTCCCAAAGCAACCGGGTGAAGTAGCACCACGTGTCCGTTGGTTACTGGGAAAGTTGAGCGGCTCGCAGGTTAATTTGGAGAAATATGAAAGGAAGGCTTCCTTGTTAAAAAAAGTCCTTGAGGTGGAGTAACGCTTTGCTTCACATTATCTTTGCTGGTGTTTACACGGACGCGATGGCTATACTCAACATGTAGTTTTACTTTGCTGTCCTGGCTTGCGAGTCTTGGCATGGTGCTTTGGAGATGGTGGGGTTTCCGTTCTTGTTGCAATTTGCTAAGTTCTATTCCTCTAATTACCTGTATGATGAATGGTTGTACTGTACAAAAAATAGCAGCATTATCACTTGAAGCGCCAACAAGGTAACTAGCAGACAAGAACGGTCCTCTCAGAGGAAATGTAATGCAACGCTATATATAGAGCCAGGAGAAAGAGAAGGAGTACGCAACGTTGTTATTTGCCCCCTCGCAAAACATCTTTCAATTCCGTCTTTGGTTCCACATACCTACTCAGTGTGTCCCTCTTGAGACTCTTCTGCTCATATGCATAGGCCATCCCAATCAAAGCTTCCTCGCTCCACAAATCGCCCATGAAGCTTAATCCCATGGGCATCCCAGGGGCGGAAAGCACAAGATCCCTTGGGCTAGTCACCACTTTTGTATCTGCTGGCCAGGCGCTCATTGGCACAGTCACCATTGGAGTGCCAGCCATGCCGGATGCGAGAGGGGACACGTTACTGGGAAGGACGATAGCGTCAAGGTTGTTCCTACGCAGAGCACCGAGTACACCGCCTTCGCCAACCATCTGCAGCAGTTTTTGGTATATAGGCCAGAATTCAGGTGAGGTGTTGTTAACGCCAATCCTCAGGGCTTCATCCCAAGAACGGGTGTCGCGGTCTGGATAGTCTTCGAGGGGAAATGTCTGGACGAAATGGCGCAGGTCGGAAAGATTATGGATATTGTTTGGATTGGTTTTCAGTTTGGAGCAGTAATTAGCGATCCCATTTATGAGATCCGCATAGAGAATTTGAACCGGTAAAGGACTAGTCATGAATTCCTCATATGCAGAGTAGTTGGCATCCCTCACTATGATGGCCCCAGAATCAGCTAGCAGAGTCACAGCAGTATTAAATGGTTCAATCACAGCAGGATCCGTGGAAAGAAACTCAAGGACATTTGTGGGGATTCCGATCCGCTTCCCTTTGAGCGCGGAATGTTGGCAAGCCGCCGGGTAGTCGGGGACACAATCAAAAGGGAACGCAGATGTGTAGTTGTCGCTAGAATCTGGGCCAGCAATAATTTGGAGGAGTTTGGCAGCGTCCTTAACTGTTCTGGCCATGGCCCCAACAGTGTCCAGATGCTGGCTGATGGGAATTACAAGATGGCGGGATGTGAGCCCAACGGTTGGCTTGATACCGACAATGTTGTTTTGTTGGCTAGGGCTAATAATGCTGCCACTTGTCTGGGACACAGTTATTAACTTTAGGACTCAAGACACCATTTTAGAGAAAGGGTGGAACAATTCAAAATACCTCTGTTCCAAGCGCGGCAAAGGCTAGACCTAAATCCGACGCCACGCCGCTCCCGCTCGAGCTGCCAGCCGGGTCTTGTCGCGGATAATAAGCACCGATCACTTGGCCACCATACGCGCTCCAGCCATTGCTGGAATTTGAAGCACGGAAACCGGCCCATTCACTTAAGCCTGCCATTCCTAAGATGATTACGCCAGCTTCCTTTAACTTTGCCACGACTGTTGAATCTTCGGGGAGTTCTGCTCCCAGAAGGGCATAAGAACCAGCTAACAAGAAGATAGTGTCAGCTGCCAGATTCATAAAAAGGGAATTCCACTGAGGATCCCAAGCATTCGAGAAAAGTTACATGTGGTATGCATCTTGTCCGCAACGCCGATATTTCCTTTAATGACAATGGGTAGCCCATGCAATGGTCTAAACGAGTATGGTCAATATAGTACTAAAAAATGTAAAGGTTTGATTAGGAGTCACAAACCCGCGAATTTTCCCATGTCGTCGTTCCACATCCAGATGCCGCGCAATATTTACCGCGTCTGGGTTCAACTCAGCCACAACATGCAGGGTGTCGTTCACCTCCGCGATCCTTTTAATATAAGCCTGCGTCAAAAATTTGTCAACATCATTCATAGGTACAGTTATCGGTTTTTTTTAGTGAATCGTATATATGGTCAACAAACATTCACTAAGTCAACGCTGGAGAAACATCTTCTGGACAGTCCAGCCTGGAGCTGCTCCGAGGTTGCATCGATTAAGGACGGATAATGACAGTGAGCTAGAATTCTATGGTTTAGCATCCAACTAATTGGCGCGGATATGGGATATATGATAAAATGAAAACCCAAAGGTTACCTTTGGGGCCGTCACGATCTGGCGAAGCGGCTACAGAAGAATGCAGCGAATGCAGCTGCAGAATCCCTAGCAAGAAGGCTGGAAAAAGCATTGTGATCTCATCTGAATAGTGCACAGTGGAAGCCTTTAAGGATAGTGAATCGGATTCAAGAGAGGAGAAACAGTAAAATTTAATGACTGCTAGGGAGAATATAAGATATCGGTTCGGGAGAAGGGGGTTCCTCAGCTCCTCAGCCAGTAGTCTCTGACTTTGCTGGAGTTGCAACGCAGGACTCCATTCATCAGTAGTCAACTAATTTCTCGATTAGCTCCACGAGTCAAACATTCCGTTCCATCCGATGTCACCAGAGCGCTCAGCTAATAATCCATCGATTACGAAAAGACCGAGCGGCTTTCGCGGGCATTGTGGAGAGAAAGTTGGAAAACAGCCCGATACTGTGGGTCTGGCGCTAGTCCGTGGACAGACTGCTGGCAGTCAGGGGAACTAGCGTTGTGGAACCCTGCGGATGGCATGCTGGGGCTGACACGCCCGAGGAAGCTCATGAACTATTCGCCATCGATCTGGGGTCGCCGCGATCCTAAACGAGGGCATTTTCTCCCTGGATAAAACATCCCTGGGATGGTTTTTAACGGAAAGCTTATAGAAAAGAAGTACCAGGAGTAGAAGTAGAAGCAGAAGTAGATACAAACGAGATACTCCCCATTTTCACCAGAACCATTGTTGAATGTTATCTGTCTTGCGAGGCAGAGCACTGACCCCGCAAAGTTGCCGGCCATACTGAAGCGATGGCCCTGGCCCTGCTAGATCTAAAACCATATTCGCCGATGGAGCTGTGGTTGCAGTCGTCTTGGGATGCATCCACAGCACCGGAAGAGGAAGTTGGGTTAGCTAAGCTAGTACCAGCGTTAGTCAGCAGCAGCTTGGCAGCGGAAGCTTATTCCAACGCTTTCTTTCAACGGAGCATCAGAGCAGTTGCATCTCGTCTCGGGAGGAGATAGATACCTGCCAGTAACACCAAGATGCCCTCTCTCTGTGTTGTTTCAAAAGGCTAGATGGGCGATTCTCATCATTCGCATATGAGTATTCTCTCGTGGTCTTGATGTGCTTCAGCCACGGCTCATATAGATTTGGCCACTTCTGCAATTTTGAAGGTCTTTATACTTCTGTCTATACCCATACTACTTCCATCATTGCAATCCCATGACGAAAACAAGTATGCTGGTCCGTTCTCTGGATAGGGAGAGCGCTGCCGAGTTTGTTTCTGAATCATACTTCAAGATAATCTTTGCTACTGCTATATTAGTGTGCATTGTAACCCGCGCATATTCCGGGATTCGGTCCCATTTCAGATCCACCAATGCTGGCGAAGCAAGGAGACCTGGAATCCTTCCATACTGGCTCCCGTACTTTGGACATGCCCTTTCCTTCGGGTTCCGTCGTCGTAACCTACTTGAACATGCTCGGTCAGTTTTTATTTGATTTGCTCCACATTTCGTGGGGGTTGCTGCTCTAAATATTTGCATCTCCTAATAATTTGTTTTAGAGACAACACCCCGGAGCCTGTTTTCAGTCTCTACATCTGCGGCAGGAGACATAATATAGTCGCCTCCCCATCATTGGCAAAAGCTCTTTTGGCAGAGCAAAAATCGTCAATATCACCGGACGCATTCATCAACTATGTTATGGAGCGCGTTTTTGGAGCGCAGGAGAATACGAGAAATCTCACCAGGGAAGACTTTGACGCTCAGTGCAGGTTAATGGAATTTCAAATGAGAGAACCCTTCGCATCCGACTGTTCATCTATTGCTCTCAGGCAGATTGAACAGAACATTCCAAACATGTTGTCGTTCTGCTCAAGCATAGTCGATCAGTCCTTGTGGGAGAGGATGAGCGCCGTTTCCCTAGTTAGTGATGGCAGTGGTCAAGCTTGCGAGGTAAACCTTTATACACTGGTCCGCAACTTTGCCGCAGTAACTGTCATGTCAGCAATCATGGGTGAAGACTTTATGGAAGCACTTCCAAATACCCCAGATGATATTCGCACATTTAATAATAATTTCAATGCCATTGTCCTGGGCATTCAGCGGTGGGTTCCTTTCCCAGGACTTCCCACCTCATATCGGTCGCGACGAAGGCTTTTGCAGGGCATGGAGGCCTTTCATTCCGCTTTCGAAGTTGCGGAAAATGGCCACGACCCCGGATTCGACTGGCGTCAAATCGATGAAGCCTCCGAGTTCATTCAAAGCCACTGTCGAACTTGGAAAAACGCTGGACTAGCCGCTACGTCAATGGCCTCTGAAAGTCTAGCACTCTTGTGGGCTATGGACACGAAATTGAACACAATCATATGCTGGAATCTCATTCACATTTTGGCGGATGGTCCAACCCACTCTCAGGTCATGAAGGAAATTGCTCCGTACTCTCGAGCAGGCAGGCCAGACTCGGGAGAGGCAGGATTCCAACTACCAGAACCACCACGACTATCGCTGGACGCCGATCGTCTTGTTGATTCTTGCCCTTTGCTCAAAGCGACATACTACGAGACTCTTCGCCTGCACTCTTGTCCAGTCACCTACCAGAAGATCACCGAAGATTTCAAACTCACCGAATCTGCGGCTGATGCAAAAATCGCGAACCGAAAACAGCAAACCTATGAATTTAGAAAGGGGGAATATATCGCAATACCCCATGCTCTTCACAATACCGATTCACACTACTTCGGAGACCCGGAAGAATTCGACCCGGAAAGGTTCTTAATGGAAAAGGATGTGGATAGCAACAAGCCATCTGGCAAGGGTGCGACGTCTGAAAAGCGAGAGTCGTCCGTCTCCCAGCCGGAGCTTAAAATACCAGAGATATGGACTGTGGAGAGCGGCGGTGGAGATACCGTGAGCCAAGATGGAAAATTTGCTGAAAGGGTGACGTTGGGATTCGTCGCTGGTTTATTGGCAATGTGGGATATTCAGCCGGTCAAGGGTATGGGCTGGAAGATACCGAAACAGAGCACTGGCGGGCTTGTTTATGAACCAAAGACAGATATCAGGGTCAGGATAAAGTCGAAGGTATAACTGAAGGTGGAGGCTACAAAGCGCAGTGGGCGTTTTTGTTTAAATTTTTTATCAACATTTTCACTTTCACAATATATATAGAATAGCATTCGATTACCTCTTCATTGCAGCCGTCCAAATCAATTGCTGTCCAGATTGCGGGCATCTACGTTTCCTACCCGATCACCGTCAGAAACGCAAATCCGCGGGTGGGAAACGCTCCTTAAATCAAATGCTGAGAGCCTCATCGATATTGATATCGACACATTCTTAGAGGTTTTGGAGGAGTAAAGTAGCATTGGCAAAAAAAGTGCCCGCACTACGATAGCAACGCAAGCGGCCATCACGGAACATGTCATTACGCCATGAAAGCAAGCTATGACTCGTATCTGCTCCATTGGAATCCCTGTAAATAAATGGTCGAACGATAGCTTCATGATTCTAGATCTCAAAACGCGAACTATCCTTCAAACCTATTCACGACATAGCAAGGCGCAAAGGTTGATTAATTATAGTATGGATAGAATGGCGCTTTCAATGCCGGTGTCAGCTTCGATGCTATTTTGGTAGACTACAAGAATCCGGATTGACCATAACTGAGTCTATTCCGTACTGGGCAGAAATTTTCTGTGATTTCAAGAACTAAAGCATGGTGCAATTGATATTTTGGTTAGGGTTAGGGTTGGAAATGTGATGACTAAGCAGAATTCAGCCTCCTAAATGGAAGTCGCGTATTGGAGGACGCGACGTGTATCTCCGCAATGGAAATTCCACCGACGACGGCAAAGATTGAGCAGGTTGAGTGCACACTTCCATGACCGTTTCCGCTGAGCTATCCGCCTCACTTTATATCATATAAATTGTGCGGTCGCATGTTACGTTTGCCAAATGGCTTCAGAGACCGTTCGGCTGAGAGGACGCCCAGCTCGTAAGTTATCGCCAGGCTTAGATAACCGTGCTGAGTTTCATTAATTGCTTTAATTCAAAATGGTCGTTCCGTTGGCTTTCAATTTCAGTGAGAATGACCGTATTTTCTCAATATAGATACGCCGGGAACTACCATTCTAAGCTACACCCCGAATGGCCGACAAGTAATCACAGCGGGTTCCAACTCTGCAATCCGAATATTCACAATTGGAGAAAAAGATGAACCAAAAACTGTGGACGATGGTGTGGACGGGCACTTGGGAATTGTTGCCACCGTACGACTTTTCGATTTCCATTTCATCGTGGAGAGAATATTTGGCATGGAGGGCTAACACGCATTGGCTCTCAAATAGAACGACTCATTCATCATGGGCGCTGAAGACGGCACGGTATGGAAATATGAATTGGAAACGGGCCAAATGGATAAATTGCTGGTCCGTTGCGCATTGCCCGTGCGAGATCTATCACTATCAAAGGATGGCGATTGGGTCGCTGTTGCCAGCGAGTATGCATTCTTCTTTTCCACTCTTATTCCTCCAAAACGTTCTGAAGCTGACTGTGACAAAATGATCTCAGTGAACTCGTCGTCAAGATTGTTAATATTCACGATATGACAATTGTGAAATATTTACGGGATCAAAGCAAAGGCGTAAAGCATGTGAACTTCGACCCGAGTGGGCGTTATATTGCAGTATCTGGTTCCGATGGGATAATTTATATATATTCCGTCGACGGGCCACAGCCAGAGCTTGTGAAGAAAATTGATGGCATTATTGGCAGACTGGAAACAGACCATGAAGCGACATCACGGGCTGTGTGGCATCCCGATGCAAGGGCATTTGCTGCCGTCGAGCCGACTAGAGATATTGCAATAGTTTCGACTAGAGATTGGACGAAACAAAACGTGTTCCCTGCTGGCCATAATGCAGATATTACTGCCCTTGCGTGGTCTCCAAATGGCGCTCTATTGGCAAGTTCTGGGGCAGATCGACAAATTTTGCTTTGGGAGACGAAGACTCAAAACATTCTGCGGCGATACGACATACCAAACGTGATAAATCTTGCGTGGCATCCTGTAGACAATACCCTCTCTTTCACAACATCCGACGGAGAGCTATTCATTTATGAAGATTTTGTTCCCGCAGAATACAGATCACTCCTCGAAAAGCCATTGGAAAGCGCACCCTTACTCTCTGGAGGGCCTGAGGAGCATAGAAGTATCCCCAGCAGGCCGTTGACGAATGGCGTGCGAACTACTTTAGAAAGTCGGCCCAGAGATGGCTCCCCAGATTCCCTGGATGACATCCTAGGCCCTATGGACGAAGATGACGATTTTATTGAGGACGACGATGGAGCTGGATATGCAGAAACCAATCAATTCGGTAAGCGTTCTCGTGGTGCTCGCGATGATTTGGACGGGCATGATCATAAACGACGGATGGGCATGTTCTTCGAGCCAAAGCGACATGCTTCATTTCAACCTGGCAGTACCCCTTGGAGAGGTGACAGAAGATATCTTTGTAAGTCAATTGAGGTGTGGTCGCTCGTTATGCCCTCTACTAAACAACGATAAAGGTCTCAACTTAGTTGGATTCGTCTGGGCTGTTAACCAAGAGACCCACCACACCGTCACTGTTGAGTTTTACGATCGGGAGCGGTTTAGGGACTTTCATTTTACAGATCCCTTTTTATATGATAAAGCCTGTCTGAGTAGGTTTTCCACCTCGACTTTCCGCGCCAAATGTACTTGAGCTAAACTCTTTTAGATGAGAAGGGAGCGTTGTTTTCTTGCCAACCATCGGGTGACAATCCGGCTACAATATTTTATCGCCCTCATGAGACCTGGACCGTACGAGCTGATTGGCGGACTCAACTTCCTGAAGGCGAAAGCATCACTGGTCAGTGGATATCCAACTGGGTTATTACGCTTGACTGCTAACAACGCATCAAATAGCTATTGCGCTGAGCAATTCTTATATTGTTGTCACTACATCGGCCGATTATGTCCGGATATATACGCTTTTCGGTACTCCGTTCCGAATATATAGGCAGAAGAGCCAGAGCGTTACTTGTGCAGCTTGGAGAGACTATGTTCTGACTGTAGGAAACGGTCCTGTGGGCAGTGATGGAATGGCCACATTGGCCTATTCTATCGAAAATGTCAAGCGGGATGAAATTTGCCAGAACGAAGATCAAGTAGCTCTACCCGATTCCACCGAGCTTCGGAGTGTTTTCTTTTCAGATAGTGGAGTCAGTTGTATATCCTTTTTTATATCGCTCTGGTGGAATGTAAGATGGTTAACATTCCTATAGGACCCCTACATATACGATTCTTCAGGAGTGCTGTTGGTATTGGAACACTGGCGAGATCGTGGACAAGCACGCTGGGTACCACTTCTTGACACGAAGCTCATGGACCGTCTTAGTGGTGGACGAAAGGAGGAGACGTACTGGCCCGTTGCAGTGGCGCAAGATGCGTTCCACTGTATAATCCTGAAAGGCGGGGATCGATACCCTTACTTCCCCCGCCCATTACTTAGCGAATTCGAATTCAAAATTCCAATATCCGCAAAGCCGACGAAGCCAGTTGACGGGGATGGCGAAGATGAGGACATGGACGATTCTGCAGGCCGTGACTCTGTTAATAAGCTTGAAGAAGCGTTTATACGTTCCAGCCTCCTATTCAGTCTACTGGATGACCGTGTCACCGCCTCCGAAGCTACGAGCGGTAGCGGAGAGGTGGAGTTGCGGAGGAAGGAGATTGATATTGATAAGATCGTGTTACAGTTGCTGGCGATTGAATGCCGGGAAGGTGAAGAAAGGGGCATGAAGGCGCTTGAGCTCGTTTCCATGATGCGGGATCGTAGCGGCAAGATGCTGGATGCCGCGAGCAAAGTTGCCTTGCGGTATGGGCGGACTGTTCTGGATGAGAAGATTAGGGAGTTGGCTGAACGGCGACTTATGGGCACGGAAGGAGAGGATGATAATGACGAGCTTGCTTCATAACTGCCAATATGATATTTGGCTGCTTGACTTATCTACGTTTTGTTTTGTATTTTCCTTGGGGAACTACATAGAAAATACTGAAATTAAATCTTTCAGTTATATCTTTATCACTAAAATCTCGATATACTATCGTTATAAAGTTTTCCTTTTCAAGTCATACTTAAGGAGCCAGTGCAAGGCTTAAATGTTGGGCACTAGTTGCCCAGGTGGCCCTCCACCGCATGTGATTACCCCTATATAGTTAGCTAGCGATCGCATAATGAGAAGATTAACCATCCCACAGGTTATGGCCTGGATAGCAGTTTTTTAAGAAAAACAATGCATTTTGATTAGAATACACTGCAACTGATGTTATATTGAATGAGTTAGACATTATTCTTCTGAAAAGAGAGCTCTTTGTCTATAAAAGTGATGTAATTGACAGAATTACTGTCAAGACTGCTGCAGAGATTTCATTACTATCTTAAAGAAATCAAAAACTTATTTATTTATTTTCATTCAGAATCTCTCTAAATTAGATTGATTATAAGTGATTCTCAATTATCTACAATTCTTATATCAGAATGTAAGAAGATATTATATTTGTAATCAAAAATCTTTCAGTTTATCTTCTCTGTTACTGAATAAGAATTTATTTCAGAAGTAAAGAATGATCAAACTGAATACACAATAATAGAGAAAGATATAACAATTTCTGACTCAGTATGAGATACTGATAAGATGTTAGAATACAAGAAATCTGAGAATGATATACTCAGTTCTATACTAATATCTATATCAAATTCTAATAGCATGATGACTATAGTAGCAGCAGATCTCATTGCACTCTGCAAACAACTGATATCAATACACATATTATTATCTTTTTCATCATCTTCTTCTTCATCTTCATCTCTCTCAAACTCTATATCAGAAGAAGATTCAAACATACTGACTTATAAATATCAGAAGAAAGTACAGATCTTATTGAATATAAAGTTTATTATTATATTTAATAACATCAACTATCAGATATAAAAGATGACATTTTTTTTAGATATAGAGATGATTAATAATATAGATATTCTCAATAAAAATCAACAGAAATC